GCAAGCACCGCCCGCGTTTTCACACCTTCTTATTGCCGAAGGGCGTGTTGCGAGCGGCGCCGCCGGCTGCGCGGTCAGCTCTCCTCTCTCTCTCTTTCTTCTCTTTTTTACCATCTTTGCGTTGTAGTTGCGCCTCACGACTTGCTTTGCATTGAATGAACTGTATCCGTCAATGAGCACCCTGTCATTACTCTCTCTCTCTCTCTCTCTCTCTCTCTCTCTCTCTCTCTCTCTCTCTCTCTCTCTCTCCCTCCCTCTTACCTGACGGCTCGCTCGCACCGCCGCGGACATCATGAATGAGTGACCACTCCCTTCTGCTCGCGCGGTTCCGCGACCTCTCTCTCTCCTCTCCCTCCACTGTACTCTCAGGCACTGCAGCCTCGTAGCCGAGCGCACACTAAATGTGTTTGGACAAATTTTGTCCAAAAAAGCTTAAATTTTTTCCAACCAGAATTTTTTTACGGTGGTGCGGCGTTAATCAGCCACACAAACGGTGTAAACGCGGGGCATTAATGTTGCGCTGCGCGGGGAACCGTTAAGGCGGCGTGTCCGCGGCACGCCGATTCCGGGAGCCGTCGCTCTGTCTCCCTCACACCCACAGGAGACGCCCCACGAGTGCGAGAGAGACAGAGCGACGGCTCCCGGAGTCGGTCTGCAGCCGGAAGCGGCGATCAATAGAGGCGATTGCGCGGCGCCACACCGCGGACGACGCGAGACACGCCAGTGCAGGACGAAGGAACCGTACTGAATTCGGCCGTTTTCTAGAAACACTGCCTTTCCTCGCTATCCACTGAGGTGAATCCTTACTAAAATATTACAATAATTTTGAAATTGTTCACCATTTATTTGTCGCGCGTGCAGGTCTCTTTTTGTTTGTGAAAGCTCGTAATTGGTCGCCTGTGGTTTTTATTCTTTTTAAATATAATTTGTCCAATAACGACGCGGTGGTGGCGGTGCTGGCCTCCTACCGGCCCGCGCGGGTTCGTGAATATTATACGGCCAGTGCAGGCGGGCACAGTGCAGCGGCGGGTCTGGACTTTACTGCCCACCAAGTGGCGATGCTGGCCGCAGTGCAGTGGGCTGCACCGCGCTGTGCAAGGCTGCACCCGGCGGACCGTCCCGCCTGCCTTCTTGGTGGCGCGGTCATGTGCGGCAAAAGCAAAGGTGCGGCCGGAGCCGTGGCCGGCAGACCGATTCCGCCGTCTCTCTCGCACCCTGAAGGACGCCCCGCGAGTGCGAGAGAGACGGCGCGACGTGCCTGGATTCAGGCAGCAAAGGCCACAAGGCGCGTCGGCCGGAGCGAAATGAAACGCCGCCGAGTTTCAGCAAATTAGCGACTGGTTTACCATTCCGGCGCTCGGCGGTGGCGGAGCAGGGCGTGGCGTGGTGGGGCGGGGCGGGGTGGCAGGGTCACTCGGACACTGGCGTAACTAGCGGCGTGCCGCGGGGTGTGTGGGTCCCGTTCCTTTACACGCTTCGCACGACGCTGCCTGGTTGTTTTTATCTCCCATTGGCCGATTGCGCGGCTCGTCCGCCGCAAATGATATAAAAGGCTGTGGGAAACACGGAGGCCTTCCCCCTCCCCTTCGTGTCAACTTCCTCCCCCTCCTCAGACCTTTATCCGTTTCCGCCGCGCGTCCCGGAAACACGAGGTGCCTGAATGAGAGAGAGAGAGCGAGAGACGGTTAACTTCCTGAGGCACGAGCCCTTCGAGCGCCGTCCTGGTTTCGCCTAGGACTCGGCCCTGGCAAAAGCCTTCCCCCCTCCCCAAGGGCCGTCTAGAGGAGCTTGCCCCTCAGTATGCACAAGTCCGAAACGATAATTAGCAGCCGACGTCAGCGAGGGGGAGGAGGGGGGCCGTTGCCCGCGCTAGACCGGGCGTCCGAAAAAGCTAATTGAAGCGACTCCATTACGCTGCAGGATGATTCCGACAGTCGTTTTTGGCGCTGTCTCTCTCTCGCACCTCATACGGTGCGTCCATGGGTGCGAGAGAGACGAAAGTTGCGGTGTGGCCGTGCGGGTCGGTGGGAACCCGCCGCCTTTTCGGACATAACCACGGACTAGTTGGCGCGCGCCGACGCACCGCCGCCTCATTAACTGGCGGCGGTGTGTATGAATTTTCGGGCGAGGCCGGGCGAGGCGGCGAACTACCACACCGCCACCAGCTGACTCTGGCTCTGGAGAGAGCGGTGGCGGGGGCAGAGAGAGAGAGAGAGAGACAGACAGAACAACTACTTATTGTTGCACTGAGCAGCTAGCATAGCAGCCTCTCCGCAGCGGCAGCACTCAGAATTCGAAGGGGCGTTCACCTCTTGTGGGTCGCCCCGCTGCTGCCGGCGCGCACACACATACACACAGACACACACCGCGGTGTCACCGTACTCCCCCCGCGCGTGTGTGCGTGGGTAATGTATTCACGAAATGAATCACCGTAGAACGCGGCGCGCGGCACGTCCGAGGTGCAGTGCTCCGCCTGCTCTGGCTGCTCTGGCACCCTCGGAATAATGCTACACGACACTGCGCGGCGCGGTGCGGCGCTGCGCAGACGCGTTGAACGGGGTCAGGCAGCGCGAGGGCGCGCGTCCGGGCAATAAAATGGGCAGAGCGGCGGGGATTCGAATCCGGGACAGAGAGCCCCTGCGAACGGCCGGGTAGGCAGCACCGCAACACAGGCCTGCCTGGCGGGCCGGCCCGCCCTGCCGGGCGCTAGCCAGCGCTAGTGTCCACGGACTGTGACCCTGCAGGGCCCCGCCACCGTCGTCGCGCGGCCTTCAAACGTGAGGCGGTGGCCGCTGGCGGCGGCAGTCATTTCAATGTTTCCATCATCGGCGACCTCGGCCGGTGATTGTCTCATTTCCTCCGGCAAGGGCTCCTTCAGGACAGACGAGCACGGTCAGCGCACTGCCAGCGCCTCGCCAGCGCGGAGACCGAGGGCCCTTCTGAAAATTAAAATTAAAACCAAATTGCTCTAGAGGCGGAATGCTTTGCGAAGGCCACGCGAGGCGTGAAGCGAGAGGCGGTGCACTGGAAGCACTACCGCGCCACCACCGTTTGCGACGTCAATAAACGCGCCCGGCTTAGCCTCGCGCTTTTTCAGCTGCCCTGCACTTTCTCTCACGACGGCACCACCGCCCCGGCCCCGCCAACCCTTTCACTCGGCCCGGCCCCGGCCCGGCCTGCATCCGCCGAACCAGTGTATGCACACGCACGGCCCCGGCTTGCCTCGCCCGGCCTCGGCGTGCCCGAAGAGTGCGCACTTGCAGGACGAGGAGCTCGCCGAACTTTGCTTGAGAATGGATGCGATTTGTGTACATAGGGAGGTTGAAGATAAGTTTTACTGGCTAGTGTGAGCGAGCAATGTCATCTTTACCAGAATCTCAGTCCGGTGCGATTGAGAGAGAGAGAGACTGCGGAAGCGAATGGCGGTGGGCGCATGTTTTGTGTGAGCCTCAACACCGCCACACCAGTGCTGCTGCTTTTCGATCAATCGACGCGATACGGTGCAGGAGGTGGATCGGAACGCTTTGTCCTCCCGGCGCCGCCAGTGCGGTAGGCGCCGCCGCCACGTCACTGTTAAATGGCTGTGTGTGTGTAACCTCAGCCGCACACACACCTGCTGCCGCCTGCTCCCTGATTCGAAAGCGCACACACCAACGCAGGCAGTGGTGGGTACTTAGTAGTGATATTATCGCGATCAACCAATCAGAGCACGGCTGTCCCAGTACATACATTGTAGACACACACACAGTCACGCGCGCGCGCACGCCAGCGCCTTGGCAGTGGTGGTGCGGCGCGCTGGGCAAATACGAAGAAAAATATCCCGGCGATGTGATCTGGACTATGCGAGGAGTTCTCATGTAGCGGGGACGATTAGTCGCACCCCCTATCTTCTCGCATCACACACACACACACGCACACACACACACGCACACACACACACGCACACACACACACACACACGCACGCACTCGCATGTGCAGGAGGATATGCTGCACGCTCGCATAATGGAGGGAAAATGTCAGATAATGTCGGGGAAACGCGCGTTGAATTCCATTAGCGGCGCTGCCTCAAGTGACAGTTTACAAATCCCGCGCTAAGAGGGAAAGAAACGAAAACGACTAATACTCCCCTGCGACTTTGACTGACTGACGCCTTTTCTTTTGGAGACGGCGCTCCACTTGCGGCGTCCAACGGGTCTCTGTGCGTTGCGCCGCGTCGCGCGTTCGCATGGCGAGAAACGGAGTGGTGTGTTTGTACTTTTCTTTCGCGGTGAGGAAGCGCGCAGGAAAAGTGCTGCTGCCCGCCACACACTCGACGCGCTGCTCTCGGCGTGCAGACGTGAGGATTTCGACAACACCTGCCTCTCTTTGAAAGCGCTCGTTTGCCACGGTGTTTGTGTATGTGTGTGTGTATGTGTGTGCTTGCCTGTGTGCTTTCCTCTCGTTTTGTGTGTGTGTCAGAGTGAGAGAGGCAGAGCTTGCGCGCACTTGTACCTCGCAAGCAATGACAAACCGTGCAGATCTGGCCTGGACTAAGTCGTTGTGTATGTATGTTGCGTAGGGTCCACTAGTTAGATCGTCCCGATGTATAAATAATGACAAGGAACCCGAGAGAAAGGGAGGGGAAGGAAGGTGGAGGGGGTCGTCGTTTGTCGTGGGGCCTTTCGGTACGCCTCGGTAATGACCCTTCAATTACAATTACCGTACCGTCACGAAGTGATGACAATCGTTTGCACAATAAAGCGAGCAATTTGCAAATGTGAGCTGGAAAGTGGAGAGGCTTTGCTGTCGGGCCCAATCCTTTATTTGGTCTGTTTTTGCCCTTTTTTAAAGATTTGAATAGGTGATTGCAACTAGGAAGTGTGCATGTGGTAGACCACTGACCTGGCTTTCAATAGCATTTGTACATGTGGCATACCGCTGACCTGACTTTCAATAGCATCGACCGTCGCAAGATGCACCGCCTCCGTTAACCCCATTTCTCTCCGCTCTCTGTTGCAGTTCAACACAAAGTGAAATGCCTGGAGGACGCCATGATCGTGGAGATCGTGAAGCAGCCGGAAATGCTGGACATCTACCTGGAGGGGCTCCGGTCTTTCCCTGGTGAGTTTGGTGGGGGGAGAAAAAGGGGGCCTTTTAAATGGCGGGCGATACGCGAGAGACGTAGCGGTCCCCACACGCACGCACCTGTGCGAAATGCATCGAGTGACACGCCGAGTACTTTGTGGACGACGAGAGGGGCCGGGCATAAGTCACCTGGAGGGGCCGACATTCCAGGACTTCACCACCTCTCTGACATTACCGTCCTTTCAAAAGATACTTATAAACAAAGAAATTCTTTAAGATCATGCTTGAAACCTTACGAAGTATTCGGAGCATACATAGTACAAATAAGTTCTCCCGTTTGAACAAACAATGGGCTCACTGCGGTTCAAAACTTGCAAGTTTAAAGAGGACTCGCACGTTGGGGGCTGCTGGCCCGGCCCGAGTCCGACTCGCACGACGACGTCTCAGTCTCACGTGTCGACAAGTCATTTCTCACCTCGGCTGTTATTTTCTTCTTTCTTCCCTTCCTCCGCGACGGACGCGACGGAACAGTGGGGCCATTTACCGGGTTTGCCTAACGGCGCGGACTGGCAGCAACGCGAAGCAACGCGTAGCAACCAGGCAACTTATCACCGCCGGGCGGCGCATCCGCGGCCTCGCGGGTCTTCCGACCACGCGGGCCTTGCGACCTCGCGCGGGGACAGACAGTGGAGGGACATTGTGCAATTTGCACCTTGTTCCATTTTTCACGGCGTCTATATGCGTGTATATGGATTCAGGATGAATGACCGTGGCCTCTTGCGACTCATGATGGCGATGACACATTGCAAGCCATTTCAACTTGGTATTTTTTCGTAGGGACTTGTTCTTTTGCTTTGCCGTTCCTGGTCTTCTTCCTCCGACAATTAGGTGAAGGAAGCGGCTGGCTGACCCGGCGAGGCGGTGGCGAGGCGCGCACGGGCCGAGGAGGGGTCATTTCGTGGAAGCCTTTCGCGCGCACACGACGAGTCGACACGGCGTCCCGTTTCTAATAGGGAGACGGAGACCCTCGGGGAGAGGAGACCTCAACGCCCGGGCTGCAGCACAGCGCCGCGTAGCGCCGCGTGGGCCTACTTACGGCAGCCCGAGGAAAGTTTCCTCTTTTTAGTGGGACTGCACACGCTACCGCGGAGTGCATCGCACAGTGGGCCAGAAGACCGGCGCAGGCGGACAAAACCCTAGATGCGTTTCAGCGACTCTGGAGCTCAAAAGGCGTCAAGAGTTTTTGCCGCCTTCGCTGCGCCGGCCTTCCAGCCCGCCGTGCAGTGACGCCCAGTCCGCAGGGGACTGTCCACGATTCCGTGTGCGGAGTTAATTTCTCTCTCGCCTGCTTTGTGCTTTGGGTGGCCTCGGCGACGAAGGCCGGCGCCAGAGGCACTCGAAGCATTCGTCTGGCGCGGGGCCCGCCGAGCTCGCCTTTATTGTCCTGGATTTGTGGCGTATGTACTCTGCGCAGTCCTCTGCCGGGGGCCCCGAAGGAGGAGGAGCAACTGGAGGGGCACCTGGAGGGGCTCCGCGCAAACCAAAACAATCGAGTGCACCGCCGCCTCGCCGCTGCGGCTGCTTTTCATTGCCTTTTAGCTCTGCTGCTGCATGCTCTTCTTTTGCTCGTGTGGCGTCAGCGACGCGAGTATCGCGGTGTGTGTGTGTGTGTGTGTGTGTGAGTGTGTGTGTGTTCGCAGTCTTTGTGCGGCAGAGAGCCCTCCTCGAGCCCTGTCTGTGCTCGCGCTCGGCGTTCCACAAGCTCCCCGCCGTGTTTCGCTGTCCTTTGACCTCGTCCGGTTGCTGATGATGCACGACACGAAGTGACCTTCACTTTTGGTGCGGCATGTCCTCGTCCTTCGCGACCGACTTCTTGTCCTTGCGGCTGTGCCGTACTTTGGCTGTGGCGGTACAGGCAGCTAGCTCTCCCCTTGGTTGACCCCTGAGTTGGCGCGCCGTGCTTTTGTGCCGCCCTCTTCGCGTGACCATCGACCGGCAGCTAAAAGGCGACGCGAGCCGCTGCAGACACGCACCCCACACGCACACACACTCTCTAACACACACGCACACACGGACGCGGAGAGGTCAGAGCGGCTCTCACGCCGAATCCAGAGCGGGCTGCCTGTCGGTTAGCTGGACCAGCCTCATCGTAAACGGAGTGGCTGTTCACTTTGGGTGGCCCCGCGGACCGTAGACCGTTTACAAACAAACGGAACCAATCTCCTTTTTTTTTGGTGGTTATAACTGAGGGATTTTCGGGAAGAATAAAACTTTTTCGTGTTTTTTCTCCGCGTGCGCTGGAGCGCTGCACCGGGTGGGCGGCCGGGATGCGCTGCAGTGACGGGGCGGACGGCGGCGCGCGGGGGAGACTCGGACACGCGCTCCACAAACCCGTCGTGCATCGGGCGGACGGAACGGCGGTTCGCACAGCGTCGTTAAGCGGGCCGCACCGATGACAACCTTTGCGCGGAAAACGGTTTCCGCCGATCGGAGAGAGAGAGGGAGAGGGAGAGAGGGGGTGCTTGACCTGCTGGGTGGCGCGGCGGCGGCCTGGACGCGTTGGGAGAGCGACGGCGACGACGACGACGCCTCTGCCTCCCGGACTCATCGCAGTGCGAGCGAAACGGCAGTAAAACGGATAAAAGACCAGTTTGGCGAAAAACGTCGTTTCCGCGCCAGTTGTTTAAAAGGCTTCTTTATGACGTCTCATGATAAAACGACGACATTGTTCTGATGTCGGAGTGTGTGTTCCCGTACCAGCGTGTGTGTGTGTTTGGGGAGGGGGGGGGGGAGGTGTGTATTCCAGGTTGGTGATATCACTTTTGGGCGGCTGTATACTTCCCGACCCGTTCGTTCGACAGGCGTGCAGGGGCGGACGAGGAAGCACTGGCAGGATGACGGAGGAGGCATGTCTGTGTGTGTGTGTGTGTGCGTGTGTGCGCGTGTGTGCGCGCGCCACTTCGCACCCACCGGGACTACTTCTCACACGTGCGTCGCTGCCGTGCGTCGCCGCGTCGCCGTGCTCGCCCATTGTTGAAGCATGGCGATGTAGGCCGCCAAGCCGAGGCCCTCCTTGACGCCGAGCTCCCCGCCCTGCTGGCCGTGCGGGCCGCGCGCCGATTCGGCCGAACGAGGCTCGCTGTCTGCCCGTCGGCAGTGTGGCGGTAATTAAGGCCAGCTTGTTAATTCGCGTTTCCCGCGTTTTTCATCTTTGTTTCCCTCCTTTTTTCGCAATGCTCTTTTATTTTACGAAATTTATTTCGGCGTGCCCGCTTGCCCGCCGTCCCGCCCGGCCGGGGTGCGAGTCAGTGGTCGGCCCGGACGGGTGTCGGCCGACCTGGGCGGCGGTCTTCTCGGACGTGGAGAGGATGACTTCATCCGGCCGTCCATCAAAGAACGCGCGCCTCGGTCGGCCCTGGCGGCGCTGGCGGGGCGGCTCCTTGAGGAGGCGCTCCAGCGGACCGATTCCGAGCGTCTCCCTCGCACTCATGGGGCGTGCCGTACAGGTGCGAGAGAGACAGCGCGACGAGAACGCCTCTCGGAGTCAGTCTGCAGGCGCCCGGCCAGATAGACGGCCGCCGCGCTGTTCGCGGCCCGGCCCGGCCCGGCCTGGCCTTCCTGAAATGAATAGAGTACGGTACTGACCCGCGCCAACCACGCCGATGGCGAGTCGACGGCGAGCCTGGCGGGGTTCAAGGCCGCCCGCCTGGCGGACGCCTGTCGGATGCGCGCCGCCGTGCCGCCATCCGGTGCGGTGCCGCGGCGCGGGCAGGCTGGCTGGCGTCATGTATGATGTCACGGTGCACACGTGTGACTTACGGCATCCTGCGCGGCTCTTGCCTTGCCGAGGCGTACACTCCGCCGCAAAAGTGGAGCCGAATGCCTGCTAAATGGGGCGGTCGCTGGCAGTGTGCTCGCCGCGGTGCCGCGCCAGGCTGCAGAGCGGCGACGAGGTCAGGTCACGGCGTGAGGCTCGTAAGGCCGCGGGGCGGCGGACTGAGTCGGTTTCATCGCTCTGTCTCTCTCGCACCCGCGCGGCACGCCCCGTGAGAGCGACAGAGACGGGGCGACAAAAGCGACTCTTAGTCCGCTGGCTGGGCGTGGCCACGACGGGCATGACCACGACGGCATGGCGGGGCGGCACGGGGCGCCGCGCGGTGTTGCAATAGGTCCTGCTGCTCGCCTCCGTATGGGCACTGCCGGCAATAACCCGAACAGCGCTCTGTCTGTCTCTCTCGCACTCGCGGCTTACACCCACCTGTGTTTTCCGTGCATCTTCTCTGACTCACGAGCACCACCTTCCCGACCACTCACTACAGTGGCGGCCAGTAGAAGACGGGTGGAGGCGACCGAAATTCTTGACGCGAGTTTTAGCCTGGCGCCCGCCGGTCCTCTGGCCCACTGTGCAGCATTTGCCCGCATTTGCCCCTTGATCGAGCACGAGGCGACCGCGCCGCCCCCTGCAGGGGCCCTGGCGCCCCCGGCGGCGTGACTCGGTCCCGCAATATGACAGGCCGGGCCGCGCCCCGCCCGCCCCGCGTCACGGCAGCCATGAAGGACCCAATGAGGAGCGGGGCGGTGCAGTGCTGGCGGTGGGAGCGGCACGACGCGGGGCCTGGCACAGCCCCACGGGGCCCCGTGAGACCCAGACCGCGTGGTTCGCGAAAGGGGGGCCCGACGGCCCGACCCCACAATCTTTAGATACGATTGCATGGCCAACAAAAAGAAATAAGCTCAATTGCGGTAAACATTTCAGGTTTTTCGTCTACCAAGTGGTACTTCCAAGCTCGGCGCTGATGCGTTCCTTGTCCTGTTGCAGACGCCAACTGCCACCCCCTGGTGGCGGACGGGCTGGCCGTGCTGCGGCTCGACCTCACCGAGAAGTTCGAGTGCGGCATCACCAAGGTCACCAACCAGATGACGGTGAGTACACTGCTGCATCCCTCACTTTCTGACATGGTCTGACGGCTCGCCTCGCTGTTTGTGTCGTTTTTCGGACACCAATTTCCCCTTCTGACTTTGATGTTAATGGAAACGGTTTCCGCGACTCTTTGGCATTCTGCACGCGCGCACCATGCATCGCCGGGCCCCTGGCTGGGCTGCCGCTGGCCATGACGACGCGCGCTCATCTGCGGATGCCATTGCCAAGCCCATGCCGTGCCCGCGCTCCGAAGGCTCCGAAGGCTCCGAAGGCAGAGAGTGTGTGGGCAGGCGACACATTGGGGCCGGCGACGCGACGGGACAAGCTGACGGCTCGGTAGGGAACTGGAGATCATTGGTGGAGAGCGCTGCTGGAGAGCGCTGCTGGAGAGCTGCTGGAGAGCGCTGCTGGTAAACGCTTCCCCTTCGTGCCCGTGAATCATAACGGCCATAACTCCGAGTGTCAGTCAGTCAGCCAGCCGTCACGGCGGTCCAGTTTGGGCGTGCGTCCGCTCGGCGGGGCGGGGAGGCGCGGGGCGGTGGCCTGCTGGACTGCCGGACTCCGGGGCACGACAAAGGCGAAACGAGTGGAATGACTCCGAAAACGGCCGCGGGCCCCGTGGGCCCCGTGGGCCCCATGCGGGGCGGCGGGAGGCCATGCGTTATTCACATTGGGATTCAGATTGGCAGTCGGGCCGGCGGACTGACGGGCTGATGGCCAAGAAGAGTATGGGTGGGTGCGCGTCAAAACGCCAGAACCGCTTGTTCCTTTCGAGGTTTTTTTTTCCCGAGGGAACACAATGTTCGTTGAAAAATTATTTTGCGAATTTGCGTTATTTACCTCTGAGTGAGTGGGCGTCGAGGTTAGGGTTCGCCTGAGAGAAACTCTCCGCGTAACCGCCACTATTGCCTCTGCCAAAACTTTCGCTCGGTCGCTGTTTACCAGTCAGGCTGAGCGGCTCTGTTACCGAGGTTTTAATTAGCCTGGAGACATCTGGGCCGCGGAGGGAGGGGGCTGGCTGCCTGTGCTCCGCGCCAGAGGACGCCGAGGAGACCGTCGCTGTCGTCGGCCATGTCCGCGTTTTATGCAGTGTACGCGCTTCTCTGTGTTGCCAGCAGTGTTGGCGCGAAAAGTGCGCGCTGCATAAATTTGGCGGTGGTCTCTGACGCCGCAGCTACCGCAGCGCCGCGCCCCGAGTGGATGACGGACGGAACGGATCGGGGTGGCTGACGGCTTGCTGACGGCCACGACGGGGACCTAACGGCGCCCCGCGGCGCGGCGGCGAGGAAGAGGGCGGTCTTCTTGACGAGCCGAACGACGCGTTTGTCACGTCGGACACGGCCAGCGGCGGCAGCAGCGGCGGCAGAGTTCGCGGGTTCAACTCCCCGTGCCGTGCGCTGCGCGCGCGCTTTGTGCGTGTAGACTGTCCGTGGGCGCAAAAAGAAGGGGAGGGGGGGACGCGTTGCGTAGCGCGCCGCGGTCCCCGTCGGTCCCCGTCGGTCGACCCGTGGGCGAAGAAGACAAACAGCTTGGCCTCGCCAGGCGCGTCTTGCACGGAGCTTCTCTCTTTTCGCCCCCCTCCCCCTTGCACCCTGCCTCTCTATTTGGCGACGAGGCGGCGCGGCTCGCCGCCTCTTTGTCCCCGTTGTGGCACACCAGTGGCGTAGCTTTCCAGCCTCCCAGCCGTTCGCAAAAGCGACTCGCAAAACGCGCTGCACGATCCATTTGCTGAATCGCCGATTACTTTCGACCGTTTCGTTTCGCGCTCAAAGATTTATGGGTTTGCGCCGGGCCGCCCTGGAAGGACGGGGAGGACTGCAGGGCCTGCATGGCGGGGAAAGGGTTCGTGCCGCCATGCCGGCCACGGCGATGCGCCGATGCGGTGTCAATGGAATGGCGTGGATGGCGTGTGGTGGTGGGCGTCGCTCGCGTCGCTGGCACGCCAAACGGCCGGCACCCCGTCCATCACCACGCCGTCAACCTGCTATTCCGCCGCCCCGATCTCTCTCTCCCCCCCCTTTTCCCTTCTCCCTCCCTCTCTCCTCTTAATTTCTCCCGAGTGTGTGGGAGGATGACCGCTACGGCCACAGACCCACGGCCGCCTCGCCGTCAATCAAGATGTCCCGGCGGACATTTAACTTAACGCACTGGTTGGTGGGGCGTGGCGCGCGGCGTCATTAGTCGCGTTGGGCTCGTGCCGTGCCGCGCCGTGCCCGTGCCGTGCCCGTCGGCGGCGGCGGCAAGACGTTGCTCAGTCGCGCGGCTAAAGACCGCGCCGATCAGCCAACGACAACGTCAAAGTTTCCACTGACGTGCTCTTTCATGCTTCGACCCGCTGCTTCGACCGTATTACACTTCCATTGTACCCTGCTTCTGAATTTCCGCCAGTCTGGCCCTCTGTGTGCTGGTGCCAACGACAGGCGATCCATTTCTAACCCCACCTCTCTGTGGTGTTGCAGGGCCGGTCCTCCTACTCGCACCGCGTCGTCATCGAGCAGTCCGACCCGCAGCGGCCCAAGGAGGTCCTCAACGTCAAGTGCGTGCGCGGCCAGACCGCCAACCTGACGGACCACGCCGTCTTCAAGCGCAGCGTGCTTCCGGCCGGCTTCCAGGAGCCAGAGTAAGTGCATCAGTGCGGCCGCCGCCGTGGCTCGGCGCCAGAGGCGCGGTCGGCGGGGTTCGATTCCCGCCGTCGCCTTTGACTGTCTTTGCTTTTTTTCGCGGACGGCGTATGCAAGGCTGCCCCTGCCTCGTCGTCGATACAGAAGAACAGCACTGCTGGCCGCGCTGCGCCCTTTGCAAAGGTCACGTGGCGCTGCCGAACGCCAAACCGTCGGCACGCCGTCCAACCAGTTTTGCAAAAGTGTCAGGCTCGGTGACGAGCCGCTGTCGCCGCGACACCGCAGGCCTACCAAGTGCGAGCGACGCGGCGCGGCCAGGGGGACGCGGACAGTACCCCACCGAGGCCCCGCCAGGATGCCGCGGTGCACTTCGCAGTGGGCCGGACCGGTGCGGTGGAGGCGGTCAAAATCCCGGACGCGTTTTGAGCTCCAGAGTCGCTAAATGGGACTCGGCAGTGTGGCCCCGGCCTGGCCCGTGCCTCTGTTATCAGGGCGGCACCGGCGCTCCAGTGACCCCGTGCGCCGGCGCATGATGGAGACGATCGAGATGCCGGAGATGGCGGTCAGCCCGACTCTGACTGCGCGGCCCCGCGGCGCATAAACTGCGCGCAGGTCACCGTTATCTGCATTTTAGAGCGAGTTTATTCGCAATTAAGTTCGGAAATGATATCCCAGTCCTGCACGATTCGCCGCGCCGCGCGCGCCTCCCTCCCGCCGCGCCGGGCTTTCTGACCGCACCGGGGGCTGGTTCTCGCTATTGCTCTCCTCCGAAAGAAAAGGTGTGCATTTTTGTAAAAAAAAATGTTTTATTTTCTTTGCTGTAAATTCCGCGCCGGCTAGGCACTGCAGCGGTCCGGGTCGTTCGGGCCCAGTGCCGGGCCGCGGGGCGGGGCGACGACCGGCTGCTTCTTGACGGCGGCCAGATTGAATGGAGGCGCGCGGCGGTCTGCTGGACAAGTAGTCTGGATGTCTGGAGGAGTCTGGAGAAGCTGGGACCAGTCTTGACGAGTCCGCAGAACAAGCTGGAGGAGTAGGCGTGTCTGGAAAAAGTCTTTGCAAGTCTGGAGAAGTCTTGGTAACTCCGGAGAGCAGGCCGAAGAAGCCACCGGTGCGGCTAAGCCGGCCGGCGGGGCTGCGGGGGCGGCCTGGGGGCGGCCTGGGGGCGGCCTGGGGGCGGCCTGGGGCGGGCTGGGGGCGGGCTGGGCCGGGCCGTGCCGCGTTGGCCGCATACAGAGCGGAACGGTGCGCCGCTCGCTGAGGCGCGATGGCGCGATGTGGCGTATTATGGTTCGTAATTTCGCCGCCGTCGCCTCCACAGCACGAGCTGGACACTTCCGCCGTGCCGCGCGCTGTGAAACCGGAAGAGTCCATTTTTGACGTGAATTTGGACTTCCCACATTGGTTTTGAAAAGCAGTGTAGGGGCGACGCCGAAATGCAGTTAGCTGCGCGGGTTGCGCGGGAGGCCATGCGGGCCGGCGGGGCCGACCCACATCGCGTCGCGTTAGTGGAGTGCGAGAAGAGCCCCGATATAATTGGCGTGCCACGCACTGCCGTGCACTGCCACGCACTGCCGTGCACTGCCACGCACTGCCGTGCACTGCCACGCACTGCCGTGCACTGCCGTGCGCTGTGAGAAAGAGCGGTGCGCGTGGGGTAGGCATCGGAACCGTAAACGCCGTAAAAAGAAATAAAAGGAAAGAAAAAGTCGCGCAGTACCGGTGCGTCGTGCGTTATAGAATGTCCTGTTGACACTTCATTTACCGGAAATGGGCCGCGAGGTGTTGAGGCGGCAAACCCTGTGGCCCTGTGGCCCTGTGGCCCTGTGGCCCTGTGGCCCTGTGGCCAGGCCGACTGCAGTGCCGGCGGCACTACGGCGCGCGCTTCGTTTCCTGCAGTTTCCTATCTAACGGCAAAAATGAGGAACCGGCCGGACACGGCGGGCCCCTCCCCCTTCCCCGCACGGAGCGCGCCAGTACGCCTCGGCTAGCGTCGGCCACCGGACATGTCGGTTTGACTCTTTGCGGAGCGCCGCGCGCGTGGCGGAACCTGGGGAAAGGAAGGGGGGGGGGGTCTGATGCGCTATGACTGACTAAGGCACTGGGCTGCGCCGAGTCTGACCGCAAGCCGGGCCTGGCCTGCGGGGAGAGAGACGGGGAGAGAGGGGCTGTTTCCTGTCCTGTCCCAACGTACTTCTCGGGACGGTCGGCCGGTGGGATGGAGACCGCTGGCCGTCCTTCTGGCCGTCTTGCTGGCAGTAGTGCCCCACAGACGGGCAGGGCAGTCGGGACGAGGAGCGGTCGTCCATCCGACGACGTCGGTCCGAGCCGAGCCCGGCGGCGGTGGTTCTTCGACGACGTCGTTTTGACTACTCGTTTCTCGGTACGCGCATCGCGACGAGCGAGCCGTCGAGAATCTCGAAGAGGAAGGGGAAGGTCCAGTAGTTGGCCAGCTTTCTGAGCAAAACGTCTTTTTTTTCGCCCGGTTTCATTTTACGTCAAAAGAAGCGCCGGCAACTCGCGACTTTGTCTCCCTGGCCTTATTCCTGCAATTGCGCCATAGCCAGCTGCGATGTGGGCCAGCTGCCACCTGTGCGCCTGCAGACTCACTCCGAGAGTCGTCGCTCTGTCTCTCTCGCACTCACGGGGCGCCCCGTGCAGGTGAGAGAGAGACAGAGTGAGTCCGGCCGTGGGAAGGTGCAGGCGGTGCACTGGCGGCCTGGCCGCGTGTGTTGCCGGCCGCAGTGGCGCCGCTCGCCGCCCACGGCGCCCACTGCGCATTGTCTTCCGCGCGGAAGCAAAAAAAAAAAAAAATGAGACGGCCGAAGGTGTTGCTGCCGTTGTCGCTGTTTCCGGAGAAATGTGACACTGATTTCATCGCCCTGCCCCTCTCGCACTCACAGGGCGTCCCGTGTGGGTGAGTGAGAGGAGAGAGAGAGGAGAGAGAGAGAGAGAGAGAGAGAGAGAGAGAGAGAGAGAGAGAGAGAGAAGAGGCAGGGCGATGAAAGCGCTGCTCCGAATCGGCGTGCTAAGAAGGAATCCTTGGTTTCTCTCCTGTCTAACCGCCTGTCTGCCGTTTTTGCCCCCGCAGGGACTTGGAGATCACGACGGAGCTGACGATGCGCGCCCCGGAGCCCCAGCTGAGCGTGGGCGTGCGGCAGGGCGGCCAGCCCGTCACCGGGGAGCTCAACGTGAACCCGGGCACGGCCCTCAACATGGACGTGTACCTGGACAAGGCGTCCGCCCCCATCTACGGCCTGCTCGTCTCCTACATGCAGGTCACGGACACCAAGAACCAGGAGGAGACCATCATCTTTAACGGGTACGTGGGTTCACTTGGGCGTCGACGCGGGCCTCTGGCAGTGCAGGCGAGCTTGTGTCGGGCCCGAAACGGTCTAGCCCGTAATGGTAATGGTAATGGGCAGGCTGAGGCTGGGCCGCGCCGTCGAACACGGGTGCGTTGCGGGCCGGCCCGCCTCGCAGGCGCTTCGCTCTCCCTCTCTCGCACTCACAGCGCATCCCGCAGGGGTGCGAGAGAGACGGAGCGACGGAGCGCGGCTTGGAATGAAGCCGCAGGGCACAGCCGCTGCGTGGCTGCGCCTCGAGACCCTTACGGTGGCGCAAACACCTTTGCCCGTGCGGCACCACGGATGGGTCATTACAACGAAAAAACGTAGAAAACAAATAAAAAGAAGACGCCGGAGAGAAAAAAATGTCAGTCTCCACACGAACGGCGCGCGGCACGGCGCGGCACGGCGCGGCACGGCGCGGCACGGCATGCCCGCGGCGGGGCATGGAAGGCGTGAGGTGGAAGTGGGTCATCACTGTTAGTTGTGTGTCTGTGGCGCGAGGCGCAGTCGTTGTTAGCCCTGTCTCGCGCCGACCGCCCTTCTCGCTCCTCTTTTTGCCTCCTTTCTTTTTGGTCCTTCTGCCTCTTCCCGTCGCGGCGTCGCGGGGCGGAAGGCAGCCAGCCGGCAATTTGTCGCTCTCTTTCTCATCTAACTCCCTCTCTCTGTCTCACTCATTCGCGCGTGGCGCCCTCTCCGCCTCCCGGTCCTCCGCGAAGCCGCGCCCGTCTAAGCACTGGTTCACTCTTTCTCTCTCTCTTTTTCGGCAGGTGCTCGTTCGACCCCCACCTGTTCGAGAACTTCAACACGGTGGACGGCGACTTCCTCACGGCCAAGTTCCGCGCCTTCAAGTTCCCCGACTCGACGTACGTGCAGTTCAAGGGCACCGTCAACGTGTGCCTCGACAAGTGCCAAGGGGTGAGTGCCTCCACCGGCCTTCTGGCCCACTGTGCGGTGTTGTCGACGAACCTCTAGACCACGACCACCATGTCTGTTTTCACGGCCGTCTCCGTCCCCCAGGTGGAGTGCAGCAACGGCCAGGTGGGCTACGGCCGGCGGCGCCGGCGGTCCGTGCCGGACATCTCGGCCGACCCGAACGCCATCTACAAAGTAACCATGGTCACCTTCATCAAGGTGGACTACTCGGACGACGAGCTCCTCCGCAAAGGTCAGTGTGAAGTGCGAGGCTCGTGCGTGGGCGCGCAGCTTCGGGCGGAGCGCGCGTCGCCCACGCGACCGGGCAGCGCGCACCTCGCGGCCCCGGCCCAGGGCTCCGCCGTGGGGTTAGGCAGCCCAGCCGGCAGCCGCGCGGCTCGCTCGATTGCTGCCTACCCGCACGGCGCTCCGACTCAGCCACTGACGGGTCCTCTGCTCCCTGTTCGCTTCCAGGCCCGGGCAACATCATCCGCGCCGACTCCGAGCTGCCGCCGCGGCGCCGCAACGCCACGCCCGTGCTGGCCACCAACGGGCTGGCGGACTCCGCGGACGGCGTGGACGCGTCGGGGGCGTCGGGGCCCGGGCAGCGCCTTCAGCTCGCCGGCGAGCACGTCCGGGAGGAGCTGGCCTACACCGTCGTCCAGGAGCGCGGCGTCAGCGGCGCCCCCGCGGCGCGCAGCGCGTCCCTGGTCCTCGCGGCGGTGCTCGCCATCCTGGCCGTCGTGGCGCGGTGGTGAGGGTCACCGCCACCCCTCCCGAAAGAAGAACCGGAGGTCGACCCTGCCCATCGCTCCGTCTTGGTCGTCCCAAGGAAAACAGAATTCATTTTCTGAGTGATGTCAAAATTAATTTGTAGATTTGACATGGACCGAGGTTTTGGTGTCACTTTGATGATGTGATACCATATTCAGGTCACTTGCTGGAACTTTCGATTTCAGTAGCCTTTTGGAATATGAAATTTTGGCCCTCATTGAAATGATGTTGATCTTTACCTCGTCGCGGAGGGAAATTAAGTGCCAGTGCCCCTCTACACAAATTTTAATTCCAAGCTTCATTTGTGATAAATGTAGAATAGTTTCATTTAATAGTAGAAAAATCTTAAGGAATTAAAACTTAGTAAAACTACTTAAACGAGCAGATGTGTAACTATTCTTGTATTTTCATCCTTCTTTGTCATCTTTTTTTTTTTTTCAAATACAATTTTGCATTGTCTTTGTTTCCATCTATGTTGTAGTAACTAAGGTCTCTCACATCTTCCCTTTTATGTATCTGTTTTGTTTTCTTCTAAATTCTTACTCTAACTACTGTAACATGGCCATTAATAATATTGTTTTAAAGATATAGTTTGTAGAGCAAGTGCTTTGTCTATAGAAAAGTCTGTCACTATCTCTTCCTTTCTTTCTTTGTTGCTCGAGAGGCAAAACTTGAAATCAATCAATCACTTTCATTTAAATGTATTACTGATATATATCCTTGATGAAATGGCATGCTGTAGATGTACTACTTCATGATTAGAATGAACTGTTATTTCTAGTGTGCTCATCTGTTTGTGTTGACTGTGTGATATGTGTGTTGACGAGAGCAGGGTGGGCTGTGCAACCCTTGACAGTCAAGCAGCAGGAGCCCACCATGCCAAGTCTCTCTCCGTCTCTCTTATGCAACCTCTAATTTCCTCTCCAAGACTGACAATTTTAATAAGAACAGGAACTTTGTAAATTAGACTTTGCGTGGAGAGACTATGTTAGCACGAAGTGTAATGAATTGTACTTTAAGAATTTGTGACCAGCCTGTGCACAATCATTTGTGTATGAAGTCAAATGTATTGTATTGTTTAGCGTTTCTCACATACAATTTAGGAAGTTGAATCAAATTGTTTTACGACTGTGCTCTGTACTATGTAACATGTCACTAAGTACTAGACCCAGCACAAGAAAATCATAAGGTATTGATCTGAACTAATGGTCCCTGAGGCAAATGTGATAAAAACTGATTCCATAACAAATGGAAAGACTATTAAAGTAATTGGTGAAAGTTTTAAATTACTATGAAGATTGACCTTTAAGATTTGTATTTTGTCACAGTTTTAGACTTAACAGGTGCCTCAGGGTGAGTGATAAGGCAGAATGTATTTTCAATGCTTCCATCCCCATACACATGATAGGTGTGTTACTAACTAGTCGATAACATCTAAAGAAGTAAAAGTTTAAGTATTGTGAGTTTAACCAGTAACTCAATTGTATTTTGATACTAAATAAGAAATAAACTACATGACAATAAGTACAGGTCTTTTGTTATTATTTCCCTCGACGACAACTCTAATCAAGTCCAATACGCATCGACCTCAGACTGAAATCATACTAAAATACCTACCTGTAAGAGTTTGCCACATCAGGTCAGAAGTCATTAGAGAGTGATCCAGGAGAACATACTCGAATTTGGGCCAAATATTTTAATAATGAAGATCCGTTGAAACAAATAAATAATTTATTCATACTTCTTTTCTATATCTACAAAATTATACAGCTTTTTTGCCGAATCGGTTTTAGAGTTAGTTAGGTCAACACTTTCTTAATCATTACTTGTCTTGCTTGTTAGATGAGAAGCTGGCTTTCTAAAGAAGCACTCTATAACTTTGGCTAAAAATATCAACCACATTTCAAAATGATACAAAACCTCATGGCAAAAGAAAAGAAGGTTGTAACCCTTCCTGAGCAGTAAAAAGAGCAAGAAAAAAGACGGTTGCATATGTGGAGTGTTCCACTCCTCCACAAATGAAAGCTTCTTTTTACACTTAATAATTATACAAAGGATTTTGGAAAAAAGGTGTTCCACATCCTTTTTTCTAAGACCCTTTAGTAGACAACATTTTGTTATAAAAAAATTCCTAACAGAAATGTCTGTTGGTCTGCTCACAAAGATAAAATAAAGAAGGGTAAAATAATGACTTAAAACTACACTTAAAAATTACCAATATTAAAATAAGATTTTTTTCAAAATATACATCTGTGGTTTTTCAGATCCAACAGAAAACCCGTTTGACTCTTACAGCCCAATAAAAAACAGTGTTGTATCTTAAATGAGCTCTTAGCTCTCTTCAATAAAATTTTCACAGTCAGTTTACCTCAAACAAATAATTGGTAGCCATTTGGTGGCATAAAATCTCACATTTCTCGCGGTAAACACTAGTGCTCTTCTTTCCGAGTGGTATTGAACACTGGTTACAGCGAGCACGTTGCAAATGTCACGTTAAAAAAAAAAGGTCCAGGAATGTGCGTATCACAATGTCGTCCGCTCAAATGGGCGAGGGCACGCTCCGAAACTCGATCGGCACATGCACTTGGATGCGGCTGCTCAGGCTCATTAGATGGGCGGCGGCCCGTTGGGGTACCGCAGCATGGGCTCGAAGCTGCGCGCGAAGTTGTTGGTGAGCACGCAGGAGTAGTCTTGGTCGGCGGGCATGAGGGTGGCCACGCCGAGCAGCAGCAGCATGAGGGCCTGGATGGGCAGCGACGCCCTCAGCACGCGGCCGAGGAACCGGTAGCCCCGAGTCAGGACTCGGGTGTCCACGGCGTCGCCGCCCGAGCCACTGTCAGCACTGGAAAAGGGAAGAAGGAGGCGTGGGGTCAGTCAAGGCGAAGGCTAGGCGGCTGGCCAGCGGGGCTGGCAAAAGGGGCGCACAGTGGGCCAGAAAACGGGTGGGGGGCGGTCAAAATTCCGGACGCGCGTTTTGAGCTCCACAGTCGCTAAAGGGGACTCGAACCGAATGTGTGACCCCACCTCTCCGAACGAGGAATCCATTGGAGGGGTCACACTTTCTGTTCGAGTCCCTCTCGAGTCGCTCTCTGGATCTCAAAACACGTCTAGAATTTCGGCCACCTCCACCGGTCTTCGGGCCCACTGTGGGGCACAGATTTGGTGCACTGGCTATCCCGATGTACAACTTGACAACTTTTTAAACATTGAGAACAGTCAGAATGAAAACTTTGATCAACGTACTTTGCCTGGATGGAATGTGATGAAGCGTGTAGCTGGCCTCCACTGGCTTGGTCCAAAAGCTGTGGGAAGGTGACAAAAAATAACGTAAGCAAAAAAAGCTCTACACATACAGTGGGCTTCCCCATGCTGTGCACTATGCTTCCTACAGATTAAAAAAATAACAAAACCATTTTTCTTTTAATTTTTACTTCTTTTGCCGTCCTCATTCCAAAATAAATTTGTAATTCTGCATAATGAGTCACAGTAAAAATGGTATTTGTCAGAGTGCAGAGCTAGGGGAAGAAAGGTGGTAAAACAATACACAATACTGTGAATTTTCTAGGTGCAAGAACACAAATTTAAATTCAAAGTTGATTTTTTTTATTCATTCAAATTAGGGCTTAAAAATATATGGCTGAGGAAAATACGACGGACTATTCCTCTAATCAAAAAACTAGAACGTATAACTTGGATTTATGTTCGAAAACAAATTTAAGCTAGCTAAAAATAATACTATCACGGTCTAGCTAGAGGACGAAGCACTAAGTGTTCTGTGCCATATAGACGTCCTTGCCTTAAACGTATTTTGCGGACAGTTGAATTTTGTTTTTACTTGCACCCATTACTGAATAAACCAACACAACAATGGCAACACCAAACCAAACGTGTACGTACCTCGCTACTCAAACTGGCCAGCGACGCCACCCGGGCGGACCCGACCAACTCGTCGGGAGAGCGGCCCAGGACAGCGCCCAGCTTGACGCAGTACAGCGCGGTTAGCCTTCGTAAGGACTGAAGTCTCAGGCGCAGATCTGTAAGCCTTTGCAGAGTGGAGCCAGACCCCGCAGGGGCATCGGTGTGTCGCAGAAGGCTGTCGGCAGCCTCTTGCAGGGACATGACTCTGGGCTCGTACCGTTCCAGTTCAGCATGCAGGTCCTGCAGAATGGGTAAGTGTAATGAAGGAGATAATGGACGGGTTGGCAAAGACCATTTTTTTTGTCAGTAAATCTTACCCTGAATTTCAGATATTTTGTCTCAATCACTGACAGATCTTCGGTGACATCAACTGGTTCAGTGCTCTGTATATTTTCTTCTGTAGTGATTAGCCATCTCGTCTGTTCTTCAAGGATAGCATGGAATTCATCATTCTGTGGACGTAGAAATACGAATGGTTTAATAACAGTGTAATGGTGAAGTGTTTACAAAGTATAAAAGGGAATGTCCGACTGATTCTGCTTTACTACCTCCATGAGGGCGGACTGAAGTCTTGTCTGCCAGACAGCAGCTGCTCGGCACACTGCTTCCCAGCGGGTGTTGGCGCTCGCCAGCCTGGCCCGCAGTTCGCGGGCACGGTCTTCGTCGTCGGTGTGGTCGGCAAGGTGCACGCCCACGATGTTGAGTGACTTGACGATGGAGCGGTGGCTGTCCAGGTTCAAGAGGAACTCCTGAAGACGGAATATTGTTATTAATGATGTTTCCGGGTTGAATTTGTAATAAATCAACAGACAAGTGTCATGAGAAATTTCTGCTGAAATGTGATGTACTTCGGATGTACTTACTCTCTGCTCCTGTATGATGTCTTCCAGTTGTTCGATGCTGGTTGGCGGCGTGACTTGGAGCGATTGCTCTCCTTCTGCATGCTCCAGCCACTTCTCCAGTCGCCATAGATCATTGTCGAGTTGTTGCCAATTTCGTCTTGAGCAAAGAGGGCAAGTAAGCTTGCCACTGAAAATGAAAAACAATGGAAATTTGAGCACATTTTAAAATGACAGACGGGGAGTAGTTCCAGACAAGAGAATTCATTTAAAAAAAAATTCGCGGAGCAAAGAATTGAGAAAATTCGAAAGAAGCGCAGTTAAAATGAAGGCAGTAAAAGTATTTTGTTAGATGCACTCACTGAGAACAATTTAAAGCGTAGTCTCTGATATAAGAGGACCTGTAGGAAAGAGGGAAGAGGGAGAAAAAAGATTTTGTTAGATATCTAGGGCATGATTCATGTTAATAGCAGTCACACCTCAACTCCGTTCAAACAAAAAAAAATAATCAGCAACCACTAATTCTTTTCTCAAACATGCTATACTATAGTTTTCAAGTTCCAACACCAAGGCAAAAGGGAAACTCATCACCAGATCATAGAATCTGCAACCTGCTCTCTGAGCGAGCGAAGGAGCCATTCTCCAAGCGTTGGAGGGATGCGGCATGGCAGAGCATGGCGCGGTGGCCAGGCGGTGGCTCACCTGAGGTCGCGGATCTCTCTCTCCCGGAGGCGGGCCCGGTCGCGCAGGGCGTGGAAGCGCTCCTCCAGGACGCGGACCTCCTCGGCCAGGGCCTGGTCGGGCGTCATGCCGCACTGCTGCACCAGCAGCGAGTGCAGGTGGCGCACCAGCTCGTGGGAGGCCTCGCAGGCCGCCGTGGCCTTGCCCAGGGCGCGCGAGGACGCCAGCGAGGTGTCGCCGGCCTGCGCCTGGCCGTGCTGGTCGACGAGCAGGTCCTCCAGGCGGTCCGTGGAGCCGCGCAGCTCGCGCAGCGCGCCCTGCAGCTCGTGGAGGTAGCCGTCGCGCGCCGTCAGCCGCTTGGGCAGCGTGTCCACCTGGACGGCGGCCTCCGTCTCGAAGCGCAGCGTCGTCACCTGCACGCCCTGGTCCACCTGCCGGCTGAGCTGCTCCAGGCGCTGCGCCACGTCCTTCCAGAGGCCCTGGTACTCGTCCACGAGCGCCTGCAGCCGCTCCACCTCGGCGGGCGGCGCGGCGCGCATCAGTTCCAGGCCCAGTTGGTCGGCCGTGGTCAGTAGCGCGCTGCGGCTCTCCAGGTCTCGCGTCAGCGCCTGCAAGCACAGCCAGTCAGCATCGTCGCCCTGCTCGCCACGGAGACTCCCCACAGACGACGCCGTCCTCACCTGCAGCTGCCGGGGGTCCCTGCGCGCCGGCTCCTGCAGCTGGAGCTGCGAGAGCCGCGCGTCGATCTGCGTGAGCACGAGCACGGCCTCCTTGTGGGCGGCCTCGAACTTGTCGTGGGACTCGGCCAGCGTGAGCAGCGAGTGCCGCAGGTCCTGGGCCGCGGGGCCGACGGCGCCCCAGCGCTCGGCCAGGCCGCGCGACTCGCCCAGCAGCGACGGGCAGTTGGCCAGCTCGCGGGACAGCCGGCTGTACGTGGTCTCCACGACGTTGAGGCTGTTGCGGCGGCCCTCCACCTCGCGCAGCACGCCGTCCAGCCGCTGCACCAGCTTGGGCAGGTCGCGGCGCGACACGGGGCCGGCCGCGGCGTCGCGCACCTCGCGCACCGTCTTCTCCGCGCCCGCCAGCCACTTGCGCTGGTTGGCGCACAGCTCCATCAGCTCCTGCAGCAGCTTCCACAGGTCCTGGATGGTCCGCTTGCGGTCCGTCGACAGCGCGCACACGCTCTTCCACCTGTGGACAATAGGACGAGTGATGTCGCGGCCGCACAAATCATTTTGCTGGGCGCCGGAAGGAACGGGGACTTACCGAGTCTAGATCATTTCTCCTACCTAAATGTTCACCTACCTGTCTATTTCGCCTACCTATATTTCGCCTGCCTAATAAAAATATTCAATAAAATATTGCCATTTTTCGCCTACCTATAGTTCGCCTACCTAATAAAAAAATTAAATAAAAATATTCAACAAAAAAACGAAAAAATCGGCGGCAAAAAGTGGCAATACGAAAGTCTCTAGGAGACCCGCCGATCAGCTTCGGTGTTCTTATGGGAACCGGGCCTTCATCCGACGCTCCCTGCCGCGCAATTCGACAGATTAGTGGGTTCGTATTAGGCTGGCCCACCCGAAGTGCGCGCGGTTTCTGTGGTACAGTGAGAGTCCAGATTCAGAGGCCTTACCTCAGAGGGGTCACATTGGGTATTTGAACCCGCGACCCCGAGTGCCGAGTCTAGTCAACTCCTCTACCCTGACCGCTCAGCCACCGAACCAGCTTGTCAGCGGCGATGTCGCAACTCCTCTTGAGCTGCCGTTCGAGAAATCTGGTCCCGAAAAAATGGTACTTTGAGCGGTCTCGAACCCGGGACCTGTTGCTTCCCACATCATGCTTTTAACCACTGAGCCACCGGGACGCCATGGCACCCGGTCTGCCTGCGCTGGTACCCAATCTTCTCTTGACATACCTCCCCAAGCAATTGGTCGCCGAAAAAATTGTGTATACTACCGGTCCCGAACCCGGGACCTGCCGCTTCCCGCATCATGCTCTTAACCACTGAGCCACCGGGACGCCATGGCACCCGCCCTGCCAGCGCCCGTACCCAATCTTCTCTGGATATACCTCCGCAAGCAAGTGGTCGCCGAAAAAATTGTTTAAACTACCGGCCCCGAACCCGGGACCTGCCGCTTCCCACAACGTGCTCTTAACCACTGAGCTACCGGAGGGTCATGGTGCCCGCCCTGCCCGCCCTGGTACTCAATCCTCTCCGGATAGACCTCGTCAAGAAGTCGGTTGCCTCTGCCGAAAAATATACTCGTGTTGCTAGTCGCGAACCCGAGACCTGGCAGTCAGGAACGCAGCACTCTAACCACTGCGCTACCGGGTTGCTATGCCCGCTATTACCTAGCGCCAAACTTGAATAGCCACCCATCTCCCTTGATGCTGGACAAATTATAACTTCGGCGATGGGGTGAGCGCTGTGCATAGCAATTTGGTAGCGCAGTGGTTAGAGTGCTGCGTTCCTGACTGGCAGGTCTCGGGTTCGAGACTAGCACCATAAGCATATTTTTCGGCAGAGGCAACCGACTTCTTGACGAGGTCCATCCGGAGAGGATTGAGTACCAGGGCTGGCAGTGCGTGTGCCATGATCCTCCGGTAGCTCAGTGGTTAAGAGCACGTTGTGGGAAGCGGCAGGTCCCGGGTTCGGGGCCGGTAGTTTAAACAATTTTTTCGGCGACCACTTGCTTGCGGAGGTATATCCAGAGAAGATTGGGTACGGGCGCTGGCAGGGCGGGTGCCATGGCGTCCCGGTGGCTCAGTGGTTAAGAGCATGATGCGGGAAGCGGCAGGTCCCGGGTTCGGGACCGGTAGTTTACACAATTTTTTCGGCGACCAATTGCTTGGGGAGGTATATCCAGAGAAGATTGAGTGCCAGCGCAGGCAGGCCAGGTGCCATGGCGTCCCGGTGGCTCAGTGGTTAAAAGCATGATGTGGGAAGCAGCAGGTCCCGGGTTCGAGACCGCTCAAAGTACCATTTTTTCGGGACCAGATTTCTCGAACGGCAGCTCAAGAGGAGTTGCGACATCACCGCCGACAAGCTGGTTCGGTGGCTGAGCGGTCAGGGTAGAGGAGTTGACTAGACTCGGCACTCGGGGTCGCGGGTTCAAATACCCAATGTGACCCCTCTGAGGTAAGGCCTCTGAATCTGGACTCTCACTGTACCACAGAAACCGCGCGCACTTCGGGTGGGCCAGCCTAATACGAACCCACTAATCTGTCGAATTGCGCGGCAGGGAGCGTCGGATGAAGGCCCGGTTCCCATAAGAACACCGAAGCTGATCGGCGGGTCTCCTAGAGACTTTCGTATTGCCACTTTTCGCCGCCGATTTTTTCGTTTTTTTGTTGAATATTTTTATTTAATTTTTTTATTAGGTAAGCGAACTATAGGTAGGCGAAAAATGGCAATATTTTATTGAATATTTTTATTCAATATTTTTATTAGGTAGGCGAAATATAGGTAGGCGAAATAGACAGGTAGGCGAACATTTAGGTAGGAGAAATTAACAACTCCCGACTTACCTGGCCTCGACGGACTCCATGCTCTTGGCGACGCTGGCGGCGGTGCTGGCATCGCAGTCGCCGCGCACCACGTCGCACAGCTGGTTCACCTCGCCGAACTCCTTGGCCTCGTGCTCGATGCGTCGCTGCAGCTCCTCGTGCTCCTTGAGGCGCTTGTTGACGGCCTTCTGCGTGGGCGCGTCCAGCTCCAGGGGTGTCTTGAGCTGCTTCTCCAGCGCGAAGAGCCGCGCGCGCAGCTCGTCCAGCCGCTTCTGCAGCTGCGCCGCGGTGTCGATGACGCTGTGCAGCTTGTCGGTGCGCGCGCGCAGCAGGGTGGTGACGCGCGTCCAGGCCGTCCGCACGCGCTTGCGGGCCTCCTCCACCTGCTTCTGGTGGGGGTCGGTGGCGGGGGCGGGCGCGGCGCCGGGGGCCAGGCCGGGGGTGGCGGCCATCAGCCAGTCCGCCTCCCGCCGCTTCAGCTCGACGTCGCCGCTGACGCCCGCCTCCAGGCGACGCAGTGCCTCCGCGCCGGTCAGGTCCAGGTCAGCCTCCAGATGTCCTCCGGGCTTGTCCAGGCGCTCCAGCCGCGCTGTCTGCTCGGCCGCCCAGCGCAGGAAGCGGTCGGCGCGAGCCACGTAGCGCAGCCGCTCGCTGTCCGCCTCCTGCAGGGCGTGCGCCCGCGAGCGCAGGCGGTGCTCCAGGTCGGCGTGGCGCTGCCACAGCAGCCGCACGCGCTGCGCCGCGGCCTTCAGGTCGGTGGGGCTGACGGCCTCCTTGAGCTTCTCCTCGCTCACGCCCAGCCTCTCCAGGTCGGCGACGGCGTCGTCCAGGCGTTGTTGCAGGCCGCGCACGACGGCCAGGCTGGCGACGGCGTCACGGCGCGGGGCGTTGGGCGCGTCCAGCGCGTCCAGAGCGCGGCCCACGTCGGCCAGCTCCTTGTCCGCGGCCGCCGCGCGGACGTCGAAGTCGTTGGCCAGGGCCTGCAGCTTGAGCAGGAAGTCTCGCCAGGTCTCGAGGCCGGCGCGCAGGTTGCCGATGCGCTGCTGCGCCGCGGCGTACTCCATGCGCACCGAGGTGGCCAGCGCCTCGTCGCAGCCCGCCAGCAGGCGGCCCTGCAGCGCGGCCAGGTCGCCGGCCTGCTTCTCGCCGGTCGGCAGCTTGTCCAGCAGCTCGCCGATGCGCTGCGCCAGCTGCGGCAGCCGTCGCAGCGAGATGTAGCGCAGCTGCAGGCGGCCACGCTCGCGCTCCATGGCCTGCAGCCAGTGCAGCAGCGCGGACTGCGCGGCGCGGTACGACGCCCACAGGTCCAGGCGGCGCCGCACGGCCGCGTTGCGCTCCCCGATGCGCTGCAGGGTCTCGTTGTGCAGCGCGTTGAGCGGCTCCAGCTGCCGCTGCACGGCCGGGTCGCTGCGGTCCAGCGTCGGCCCGGCCAGCAGCACGGACGCCTGACTCGTCAGCAGGTTCTCGTGCACCTCGCACTGGTGCTGGTGCTGCGTGAGCGCGTCGTAGTCGCCGGGCAGGCCGGCCGACAGGAAGGCCTGCAGGTTGAGCAGGTACTCCTGCCACAGCCGCAGCGCCGCCACGCCGTCCTCGGAGCGCACCAGGCGCGCCGACAGGCTGCGGTACTGCAGGAACGTGTCGCGGAACACCTGCTGCCATAGCTGCAACGCGACAACCACGTTAGGCGAGGCAGTTTAAAACAAAAGTGCACCGTGTTGACGGGATGCACAGTGCTCAGGGGACCAGAGAGCCAGTGGAGGCGGCCAACACTGTACACGCGTTTAGAGCTCCGAGCTCCAGAGTCGCTAAACGGGACTCAAACCGATCGTGTGACCCCACCAATGGATTGCTCTCCGAACGAGGAATCCATTGGTGGGGTCACACTTTTCGTTCGAGCCCAATTCAGCAACTACTCTGGAGCTCGAAAACGCGTCTCCGCAGGTCTTCTAGCCCACTGTGGGATGGTCCCGGACGCACCTCCAGGATCTCGACGACGGATGTCTCCCGGGTGGGGTCGGGGGTGGCCGGCGGCGTGTGGGGCGTCAGCTCGACGGCGTCGTCACGCAGTGCCTGTAGATGGCCCTCCGTGGCGCCGAGCTGCAGCAGGTGCTCCCGCAGAGCCACCAGCCGCTCGCCGGCCTCGGCGTCGCTCTCGCTGGTGCGGGGCGTCGCCGACACATCCTGCGGACAGACAGACAGAGGGCGCATGAACAACAGGGGAGCCTCGCCAGGACAGAACCGAGTTCAAATAAAGGATTTGGAGGGCACAATAATGAAAGAAACCCCGCGCTGCTTCACTGCTACACCGTATCCCCTCCCCTTTCCGTTTCCCGCCCCTGCCTGGGAATCCCCGAGGCCGTGGGCCTCAAGCACAACACCTCGCAGCGCCACCCCACCCACTTCGGTATCACTGCAATCTAAATAACCAAAGTTTCAGCTTAGCGGATTTTGCGTGCTTCTCGCTCGCGACTTGAAGAAAAAGGGTTGGGCCGCGGCAAGGGCACTGCCAGCCAGCCCGGCAGGCCCGCAGGCAGCGCAAAGGAGGTTGTGCGAGGGTAGTGCCCCACCCCCACCCCCCGCGGGGTCACAATGCGCCTCGCACAAACAATCAGCACGCACGCCACTCACCGCAAAGCAGCGCGCCGCAAAGCGCGCCAAAACTTTTTCCCTCGCGCCTCGCGCGCCTCGCACCTCGAGGTGCCGTCTGCAGCACCCCCTCCAGCGCCCTCCGCCCTCCAACTTTCCGTGCCGTTCCGCGACCCTCTGTTTATGACCTACTAAAGGCCCCGCGGCCCGGGAACTCCCGGAAAGCGCGCCCCCTCTGCCACCCGCCACGAGCCCCGGCCGCCCTGGCCGCCCTGGCCGACGAACCTCAACCTCCGGCAACACGTGCCCCCGCGCACACGGAGTTTGTTGTGATTGCGTCCACGCCCCGCGACCGCCCTGCCAACGGCCTGCCAACGGCCTGCCCGTGTCACACACGTGCTGCACACGTCACGCGGCGGGATGGTTCCGTCTCTCTCGCACTTACGGTGCGCTCCGCAGGGGTGCGAGAGAGACAGAGCGACCGCTCGGAATGATTCCGCAGTGCGCTGAGCAGGGTTTACGACCTCCCGATCGCCGAAGTTGTGCGCCCCACACGCCAAGACGCCGTGTGAGCGAACGGCGACCCTCGTCGCCGAACCGCCAAAAATCGGCGGAGGGCGTCCATGAACCGCGACGTGAAGTCGGCGACCCGCGAGTCTGAGGCGCGGGCGCGGCGCCGGGCCTTCAACTTGTCCCATTCCCTGCCTCTGCCGAGCAATGACTTCCGGTCTCGGCTGCGGCCCCGGCGACCAACGAGCAGTTGAGGTCAGGCCCGTAGTGGTAATGGTAACTGTCAGCCTGGCGGGTAGGCAACGCTCGGCGACGCGACGCAGCGGCGCGCAGGGGGTTGCCTAGCACCCAGGCGGCTGCCGCCAGCCGAGACCGAGACGCGCGGGAAGACAGGTAAACAGTGGAGGGCGTCGTGGCGCAGGGGTGAGTAGGCAGGCCAGCGTATCCTCCTCGCTCAATTTCCTGTTTCCGGCCTCGGAACACAACACACACACACTCACAAATACGCGGGGCCTAGTCGTGTACAGTGCGTCCGCCCCCTTTCGCGCCAAAACGAGGGCAGAGCGCCACACAGAGGGACTGATTCCACACAGCGCTCGTCGCTCTGTCTCTCTCGCGCTCATGAGGCGTCCCGTTCGGGTGCGAGAGAGACAGAGCGACGACACGCCGAGTGGAATCAGCCGAAATGCCGCGACATTTATCGTACTACTGCAATCACAGTGCCCCCGGCTTGCTTTTCAAGGTCGGGCCAGGTCAGTGCGATACAGCGGATACAGAACCACTCCAGAGTTGAAGACTTGTGCAGGCGGCCAAAACTCTAGACGCGTTTTGAGCTCCAGAGTCGCTAAAAAGGACTCGAACCGAACGTGTGACCCCACCAATGGATTCCTCACTTGGAGAGCATTCCATTGGCGGGGCCACACGATCGGTTCGCGTCCCATTTAGCGACTCTGGAGCTCAAAACGCGAGTAGAGTTTTGGCCCTCTGGTGTTGACGGGGCGAAGAAGACACTCACCTTGTGCACGGTGCCCAGGAAGGCGCGCGTGTCGCTGAGCTGCTTGTCGGCGCGCTGCTTGCTGTCGGCCACCTTGTCCAGCGACTGGATGGAGTCGCGCACGGCGGCCAGGCGCCGGTCCAGCGCGGCCAGCTCGGCGTCCAGGGGCAGCACGGCGGCGCTGCTCCAGCCCGGGCCGGCCGGGGCGGCGCCATTGCCGCCATTGCCGCCATTGGCGGACTGGGCTAGGTTGGGCACGCCCAGCGACTCGCTGATCTCGGCGGCCAGCGCGCGCAGCTCCTCCAGGCGCTGCTGTTTGGCCGCCACCGCCTCCTCCGTCACCTGCAGCAGAAACAGTTGTTGTTTTTCGGCTGGACTGGTGACTGACAGCGCGCAGTGGGCCAGGGGACCGGTGGAGGCGGCCGAAATTCTAGACCCATTTAGCGACCTGGAGTTGAAAAAGCGTCGAGACTTTCGGCCGCCACAGGTCTTCTGGCCCACTGTGCAGCACGGCGGAAACGAACATCGCCTTTTCCGCCCGGTCGCGCTTCCCGGACGACGCGCACCTGCACTGCACGGGGCCACGACGCAGTGCCACGACGCCCACCCGGCCGGGAACGAAGAAAGGCAACGCGAAACGAGCGAGCCTCCTCGCTGCTGAATCGCAACTGGGGCGCGGTCCCAAACAGAGCGGCGCGTCAATGTCTCCGCGGCCGCGCCGACCACGGCGACCCCGGCCAGCCCGTCATCGCCACACTAAGCCATGTGCGCCATGCCGCCATGCACCACTTTATTACCTCTTATCGCCTACGGCCGCGACTTTGCTTTTCCCAGGGGAACGCCAACGCCGCGCAGTGGGCCAGCAGGCCGAGAGCTCCAATGGAAATGAATGAACGTACCACTGAGTTGAAAACTCTGTCCGTCCACCTGCTGCCGGGATTTGCATATACTGCTTGCAGGCACGACAGGCACGACACCGCGACCCAGTCCCGCAGCGTGGCCCCGAGGAGGCCCGGCCGGGCCCCACAGCCCCACACGCACGCGGACTGCAGCGGGGCACCGCGGAGCACAGCGGAGCGCTAAACGGACGCGGTGGGTGCACGGTGCACGCCTCGCCATGCCCAGGCGACAAGGCACGGCATCCGTGACAACATTCGTGTTAACCAGCTCCCGCGCCAGGTCCATGCCCCACACCGCCGAAAAGTAAGCGGAGTCGTGCTGTTGTTGACTCGGACCGTCGGGCCGTCGTCGTCGTCGCGTCGGACGCGGATCGCCGTCGCCAAGCGCTTTCCTGCCGCCAGGGGCGTCCACGCCTTCCTCGGGGCCCAGCCGGCCGAACACACACTTGCATTGTATTACCGGGCCCAGGGCCCAAGGCAGCAGGCCGGCCGACTCAGCCCCCACCCCATCCACACACACACTCATTCACTGATCGGCCACTGTGTGCCGCCAGTACTTCCTTCTGTGTTTTTTCTCTCCGGGCGATAAGCCGATCGCGCACCGAGCACGGTGTGCGCGGAGTCCGGCGGAGTGGTGGGGGATCGTCTATTTAAAGGGATCGAAAGCAAGCGCGGTGTAGGCGCTGCACTCTGCGGAGCTGCTGCCTGCACCAACTCTTGCGGGCGCCACGGCGCGCCCGGATCAGAGCAGCGCGCTCTGCCTCTCTCGCGCTCACGAGGCGCTCCGTAGGGATGCGAGCGGTGCGAGAGAGACAGAGCGACGTGTTTACATCGGAGAGCGTTATAGACTCGCTGACAGCGAGGGCAGTGAAGGGCGCAGGGCTCGATGGCGCTACATCTGCACCGCGCGGTCGTAAACAAGCACGCCCTCATTTAGCACCGCGACCACGTTGGTTGGACGAGCGAAGAGCAGAAAATTTTCTACTGACGGACCTGCAGTAGTCCAGACGCGTTTTGCTCCAGAGTCGCTACTGGCCTTCTGGCCCACTGTGCGACGGGGAGCTCACTCACCTGGACGGCGCGGGCCAGCTCCTCGGGGGGCAGGTTGGCGGGCGGCAGCTGCAGGTGGTCGGTGAAGTCGCGCAGCTGGTCGGCCGCGTCGCGGTACCGCTTCCAGAGGGTGACGACGCGCTCGTAGCGCTCCGTGAGCAGCGCCACCTGTTCCTGCGCGCCGTCGTACGCGTCGCCGGCCTCGCGGACCGCCGCGTCCACGCGGGCCGCCACCTCAGGGCAGCACACGGCGCGCAGCGGCTCCGCGGCCAGCGCCAGCGAGCCCACCAAGTCCCCGCGCTCCGACAGGGACGCGCGCACCGCCTGCAACAAGGAAGACAGTCAACAAACGGCAGCCACCCCGCAACGTTTCATCCAAAGCATCTAGACTATGAAACTCTCCAAGCCATCCCGACGGCGAACGAACCCCGCGCGAATGGGCATCCTGTACCTGGGTGGAGCGCAGGGCGCCTATCACGGAGCAGAGCGACATGACGGACAACACACGCGCGAACACCGCGGCGCCGCTGTTCGGACTGCGGAGCCTGCTGGACCAAACCACACCCGCGCTGCCGGGCAGGCGAGGCAGGCCAGACACCCAGGCGTCCGCCCCCACCCCATCGGCGCCGAAATACGGAATTTCCCCTGGCTGTTGTCTGCGACGCTCGGCGTGGACGCGCACCCCGTCACCGTCGCCCTGCAGGCCCTGCAGGCCGTGCAGCACGTCCTTATCAGGACCACGCCGATAAGGCGAGGCGCGGCGCGGCGGGAAGCGGCTGTCGCGCTCCGAAAAAGCTCTCTGCTTTCCTTCTCTCTCGCCCCTTTTTTCGGCTCGGCTGTACGCAACCAGCTGCGGCTGCGCCTTTAGTGCAACTCTGCAAACACCGCGCCACGCGCCGCGCGAGGCACCGCGACCGCCGCCTCGCGGAACGCGACGCGACGCGACGACGGCACCTGCGGTTACGCCCTCGATGAACGTCTCCAATCAGGGCGCTGTGTCGTGCTGTCAACGTTGTTGTTGTTGTGCTGCGCGACGTGACATCGTGTCACGACCCGGTCACACGCAGCCCACGCGTCACCCAGGAGGAGGGGGAGACATCGCTACGCCCCTACTACAACCAAACCGCCGGCTCCACACACTGTCGTCCACTATGGCGGCAACCATGACCCCGTCGCACCGACACACACACACAGACACACACGCGAGCAGCCTTGGTTTGATCCCCCCTGCCCTGGTGCGGTACAGTTTCGAGCGATAACTTGGCGGTTGATAACGAGTTGGGCAGCCAGTCTCGCCGGCTGGGGCCCTCTAGCTGCTGCACTGGGCCTGCCGGCCTGGCCGTGCCGCGCCAAGAACATCCTGCAGGGTCGCCGCCCACCTTCCTGCCGCCCCTCGCAATCATTCGCGGGCCAAATCATCGGCACTCACTGACACCACACACTTGACGCGCCTCACGCGCGGCGCGGCTCTCGGTCACGCTCGAATTGGAACCGAATCAAAAACGCAACGCGCTCTCGGCCACTCGCATGTTTGCATTTCGCCGTCGGCACGCCTTCGGCCTTCGGCCAGGGCCGCGGCGGCAGGGCGGGGCGGGGCAGGGCGCTCTCGAGGCTCGGCGGAAAGCGCTGACCCAATTCAAATGGACGCGGGGCGCCGTCGGGCGACTCCACCGCGAGCACGGCCAGCCGACGGCCAGCACGCCAGGACCAGCGTGACCGCGCACGCGTGTCACCAACGCGCACTGCTCCGGGCAAAGCTCGGCGGAAACTACCCGAGTGTCCATTCCCACTCACTCACACACACACAAACGCGCACACACCTCTGGAGGCATTCACGCCACGGCACGCGGCCACCATGTCACTGCGACGTCGCTTCGTCGTGTTCCTCGCCGTGTCCGTCCACACGCTCGCGTTCGCGTCCGCACCGCCACCAGCGCGGCACTGGGCGCTCTGCGTCAGCGCGGCGGCAAGCGCGGCAGTCGGGTTGCCACTGACTGAGGCCTTCGCGGGGCACGGCCCGGCCCGCCAGGCGGTCGCGGGACCGCGAGTAAGCCCGCGGGGAGGGGGCAGGGCGGCGGCGGGCGTCCTGGGTGACACACTCGAACACCACCCGCGGGGCGGTGAGCACCGCGCTGGTCAGGGGGAAGTGCGTGGTGAACAAGTCGCACCTCGCGTCGTCCGGCAATGCGGCAAACGCCGACGGCGGGGAGGCGTGAAAAATGGGGGGAGGGCGGGGCGGCCGGGCCAGGGAATTGGATTACCGCCGACATGAACGCTTGATTAGCCTAGGCGGGGCAGGCTGGCAGGCAGACCGCGGCCCGCGTCACGCAGGCCGCCGTAACCTTGCCGCCGCAAAACCAAGACTGCCAAAACGGAACCTCGCAGCGGCACGCTCTGTCTCTCTGTCTGCGTGTCGGGTGTCGGGGTGTCGTGTCGGCCACGCCTGTCTGTCTCCGGCCGTCTTTCTCACTCCCTCGCCCCAAAATTGAAATAGAAGGAAATCGCGCGCGACTCTGGGAAAGGAAGGGGACTTCTTCGCGTCCGGTGGTGTCGGATGGGTTGTCTACCCGCGCGGCGGCCCGTTGGTCCGCGCCGTCGGATGGGTTGCCTACTCGCGCGGCGCGGGCACCGCCGCTGCGAGCCTTGCGCGGCGTGTTGGCGGATAGCTCACCTCCAGTCTCTCCGTGGCCGTCACCAGCCGGTCCAGGTCGAGCGCGGTGCCGACCGAGAGCAGCTCCACCATGTAGTCGGCCTCCTGCACGGACGAGCGCACGGCCTCCAGGCGCTCCTCGAAGGTCTGCCAGAGCTTGAGGCGCGTGGCGAGCAGCCCGCGCAGGGCCTGGCAGCGCGCCTCCAGGCCGGCGTGCGCGTCCTGGCTGGCCGAGATGCGTCGCTCCAGGTGGCCGGGGGACACGGACACGCGCAGGCCGGCCGGCAGCGTGTGCAGCACTTGCCGCAGCGCCATCAGGTCCTGCCACTGGTCCTCCAGGTCACGGCCCACGCCCTGCAACAGCACGCAGAACGTCAAGCACGGTGCGAGCGGCAAGCGGAGACCGCGCACCTCGCGCTGCTCCACGACGTACCTCGCACTCCAGGATGGCCTTCTGCACCACCTCGCTGTCCTCGCCCTCGCTGGCGGCGCAGCAGCGCAGCGTGTCCTCGTCGCGCTGGTGTTCGCGCGACACGGCGGTCAGGCCGCTGTCCAGGGACTGCAGCGTGTCGCGCAGCGCCGCGGCGTTCTCCAGCTCCTCCGAGAGCACGTTCTCCAGCACCTTGGCGCTGGACAGCAGTGCCCCCACGCGGTCGCTCTCGGCGGTGGGCAGCAGACCCAGGCGGCTCAGGTCCTCCTGGATGTGGATGGTGCGATGGCGCATCACCTGCACAGCGCACGAATCAGTCAGACGCCCAACAAGTAAAACCAGCAACAACATCAACAACGACAACGCCCACCTGGAGGCGCTCCACGTAGAGGCTCAGCTCCTCCTGCGTCTTGAGCACGCCGTTCATGTCCTTGAAGGCGGCGCCGAGCTGCTGCAGCTCCTTCTCCAGCAGGTGCAGCTTGTTGGCGACGGGCACGTCGTTGGCCTGCAGGTTGGACGTGAGCACGGCCTGGATGGCGTCGACGCGCGCCACGACGCGGCGCCAGCGTTCGTCCAGGGTGGAGTGTTCGCCGCGGCGGCTCATCTCGTCCGAGACGGGGATGACCCTCAGGGCCGTCTCCAGCTGGGCGTTGGCCTCCGTGCGCACCTGGCCGTGGACCTCCTGCTGGGCCTTGAGCTCCTGAAACACAGAGAAAGCCAATATGAATAAACACGAAACAGTCATTGCCCGGGCAGTCTAAAAGTGTTCCCATAATGTACTCACCCAGTAGCGGCGCATGTTCTCGGTCGGGGCCTTCGCCTCCATGTCGGTGAGGTCCATCTCCACCTCCGCCAGCCAGAATCCAAGCCGGTCGGTGAGCGCTTCGTAAGCCTTCCACGCCTCCCGGAAGGCCTGCAGGCGCTGCAGGTTGTCGCCGACCTCGTCGCGCAGCGCCAGCACCGTCTCCAGCTGCTCGTCGTAGTTGTTCTCCAGCGCGGGGCAGCTCACCATGGTCTGGAGCGTGTGGGCCGTGTTGGTCAGGTGGAGAATCCTAGCGTGGTGCAGAGCCACGTCGGACTGCAGGGACTGCAAATCAAGACCAAAAAAGTAGTTTTAAACATGTTTGAAAAAAGCCATTTGCGAGGAAGAATTTTAATGAACGTACTTGATGGAGGGAGATGTACTGGTCGTAGTCGTTGCAGGTGACGGAGTTGAGGTCCGGAAGGCGCTGCCGAGCTACTTGCAGCCACTTCTTCTCCTCGCGGACCCCCGCATCTAGCAGCGTCCATCTGCTGGCGGCCAGCGCCATCTGCTGGGAGCGCGACGCGGCCGCGTCCAGGATGCTGGTGGCACGCGCGTGCAGCCGGCCGTGCAGGGCGGCATGGCTAGTCCTGGTCTCCGGGTCGAGGGAGCCTTCCAGTGACTCCAGCAGGCTTCGGCAGTGGCTCAGATTCACAAAGAACTTTCGGTGTTTCTGCATCTGGAAAGTAAATGAAATCATTAATGAGGCCTTTGGCACAGCACGGAACGGAGACTTTTGTCTGCATAACACGAACCTCTTCTTGAAGTTGGTGCAAATCGGAGACGACTATCGGCGAGGTCACGAGGGCCTCGGCCACGTCCGTGATTTGCTCCAGTTCGCCGAGCGTCGCTTCGTACTCTGCGGCCAAAGAGATGCGCTGCTCCAGGTGCTCCCTGTTCTCGGTGATGTCGCGGCCGAGCAGCCGCACCGAATCTTGCAGAGAGTAGATCTCAGGAGGTAGGGCGTGTCCGGGAAAGTCTCGCAAGAGACCGTGAGCGTCATTGAGCAGGGTGGTGATCTTCGCCATGTTGCTCCTATTCGTCGCTTCCACTTGGTCCAGGATGTCTATGAGCTCCCTGGTGGGGGTGTCCGATGACAGGATGCCGTCCACTTGGCCTCGCGATTCCTGAGCGATGACAGAGGCGACGTTCACGGCGTTCAGGAACTCCTCCCATCTGGCGAGGTCTCTCTGTTGTTGTTTCATGACGCTTTTCGCAAGACTCTCGACGACTGACCCTTGCTCAGTCAAAGAAGCCAGGCTCGGATCGAACTGTTCACGATGAGTCCCCAATTGCTTGGCAGTATTTTGCACTGTGTTTTGAGCACGCTTCGTCATAGAGCGCAGTTTCCCTAGTTCTTGTATCCTTTCGGCACTGGGGCCCTCCTTGCTGTGTGTTTCTTGCAAGACCATTATTCTGTACTGAATAGTCTCCAGCCAGCTGGCGATGGCTTCAATCACTGCCACGCCCGACTGCCCAATCTGCTCGCCGTTGCTTCCGCGGGAATGCAGTTCTTTTTCAAGCTGCTTGACGCGCTTTTCTTCCCCGTCGGGGTCTAGCGAGCTGCTGTCCTGAAGCGCAGCCAGATAAAGAACATTGGGGCGCCTTGTCGGGTGTTGTGTTCCAGCTTTCAAGCGCAACAACTTCCCTTCCAGCTGATTGATAGCAGACACGGGCAGCACAGGCGATCCAAGACCTTTCACTTGCTCTTGGGGCCTTTCTCCTTCAAGGAACCTCTCTGTCATGGTTTTTGGGTCGGCGCTGAGCTCAACAGTTGTGACAACTCTACCAAGTGGATCAACCGCAACATTAGTGTGAACTACCCCTTCACTTCCCTTCCCATGCCCCATCATTTTTCCGTCCGGTCCTCTCTTGCCCTTTGGCCGCTTCATCTTGTCGATATCCTCTTTTCGCAAGGATATATCAGACACAGTGAAACTGTCTGTTCCAGGTGCAAACGTTACGGATGTTTTGACACTCACTTCGAATGGCTGGTCTGAGCTTGCTGATGAAGTGTGCTCATCGTCTGAGTTCATAGGAACAGGTGAAGTTTGGATTCCTGCATTCGACAGATCGGTTTTCTTGAAACTCGAGTCTGGTGTAGTTGTCTGCTGGGATGTCTCGCTTGTAGCACAAATGGCCTGAACGCCAGTTTCAGCAACGGGTTCTGCCGATTTTGTTTGGACACTTTGATCATCTGTTGTCGGAACAGGTGTTTGTACAGAAGCATGATCGGTCGTCACATGCTGCACTTCTTGTAGTGGACTTGTTGGCTTGGAAGTTTGAGCACCACTTTCAGATTGTTTGGTCGTGTCTGTCTGCATCGACAACTCTGCCGTCGATGGTCTCTGTACCGGTTCCGGAGAAATAGTCTGAATGCCATCGTCTTTCGTCTCTTGAGTGACAGTCTGGGAATGGGCTGATTGTAACTCGGGCAGTTGGGGAGACGTTGTTTGAGTACCCTCCTCAAGAAGCTCAGCTGCAATCTTTTGAGGGCTCTCTTCAGTATGACGGGGAGATGTTTGAACAGATTCTTCTTGAGTGGGTTCTTCTACGGTCTGCACTGAAAGATCTTCCGTTGTAGTTTCAGGACGCATTGTCCCTGTAGTTTGAGCCCCCTCTTCCTGAGTGGGAACTCGTTCCAGCACAGGCACTGACATTGCTACCTGACCAGCAAGTAGGACACCAGCTTCGGCACTCGCGGGCCTTGAAACGACGTTTTCTTCTACAACACGAACTAGGTCGTCTGGAGATGAAATGAGAGTGTTAGCAGTACTCCTAGGAGACTCGACGACAACTTCCGCTGCAGTTTGAACGCCTGCCTTAGCACCTTCGTCGGAGACAATACTACCCCCAACTGAAATAGTTGCTGGACTGGATTTAGGAACATTGGTCTCAGCATCAGACCAATTTACTGGTAGCTTTTGCCTCTTCTTAGTCTTCTTTTTACCTTTGTGACGCACATCGTCAGATAATGAAAATTCATCCATTGTCGTGTCATCTGGCTCATATCCATGTTCCAAGGTCTTTGTTTTGCTATCAACGTCAGACAGTGGCGTGGTTGGGTCTTTAGGCAAAATATCTTCAGTCGGTTGAGGTGAATCGACTGAAATTGTGTCATCAGGTACTAATATGTCAGTAGATTCGACCAAAGACGAAGAAATTGATATATCTTTTAGAGATTCACTCTCATCCGCAGGAATAATCACTTCTGACACCTCGGTACTTGGTATATCAATTGTGCTCCACTGCTTGGTTAGTTCAAGAGTTGGGTTGGCACCCGACTTCTCCAAAGTAACAGATGATTTGATTTGTGGCGCAAGGATTTTCTGCCCAGAGTTCTCTTGCAGTCTTAATGAAACTTCAACTGTTTTCAAGGATGGTTTAGTTACAGATGGATCCGGATTCAGCGGAGAGGTAGCGACAGATATCGTTTTAACAGGAGTTTTCTGAGAGGGTGACGAACAGGGGGTGGGCGTTTCTGGTTCATCCTTGTATAGCTCTGTCACGTGTTCTTTTCCACTAGGATCAATAATAATAGTTACTATTTTCGTTCGGCGATACTTGCTTTCCTTTTCTCCTCTGGGTACTTCAATATCTTCTTCTCTTGTCTCCTCCGAAATACTTTCCTTTCCATCAAGACCGATGTGTTTTCGAACATACTTCACAAGCCGAGTAACGAGTGTGGTTGAGGGTGCATCTGAGCTCTTAGTTTTTGGACTTGATCCAGATTCAGTGTGATTAAGCCGTTCAGCATTAACAAAGTCTTGAGATGTCTGATGCAAAGCTTTACTAGCTTGGTCTTTGATGTTCCCTAAGGACACAGGAGTCACAAGGGTAGCTGATATTGTGCCTATTTCCGGAGTTTCAAAAGTTTTCTCATACACATGTTCCTGTCCATCGGGAGCAACGACTTTTTGCACAGTTTTTCTGCTCGTTGTCAGCATTTTGGGATTTTCAACATCGCTTTTATCTGGCATTGAAGGTCTTTCTACTTCTTCAGTAACATGACGCGTGCCATCAGGGGCAATCGTAAGGCGAGTTGTTTTACGAGACCACAACAAGGACTTGGCTTCAGCAGTAACGTCAATCGGTTCATCCTCATGTTCCTCAAAAGATTCCTTCCCATCAGGCGTAATCACTGTCTTGGTCACTCGTCTCATTTTAATAATACGCCCAGTATCCACTGACGGAACAATTTCATCCACAACCACATAAATAACAGTTGCGCCTAAAAGTCCCTCATAACTAAACACATTCAGATTAGTTCCGTCATCGCCTGAAACCTTGCGAAGAGGTATCGTTTTCGCAAGGCGCGAGAGTACTAAGCCATCTTCTAGATCAGTAGCAGGAGGATCTACACCATACGGTTGAACAAGTGGTCTTTGGCCTGAAAGCATAGTTTCAGTCTGATCCAAGATAGTACTTGCTCCCTCATGACCATCAGTAGTGTCGGCCTCGTCAAGTACTTCTTCGATCTCAACTTCTTTACCATCGACAATACTCACACGTTTTACAATGCGCCTGATACTTTTTACCGTATTCGTAACCAATACTTGAGTTGAAGCATCATCCTTGTTCTGATCGGCATCAACAGGAACCTCTTTCTCAACCAGAGCAGCGTCAGGGCTCCGGGCTTTGTGAAATATTTTCCTTGTTTTTTGAAACAAGCGATTCAGTGAAGACTTTCTATCCGAATCGCCAAGTGATTCATCGCCCTCGTCAACGTACTCCTCTGACACATCTTCACTTCCATCTGGATGGATGATAATGACCGTGATCTTTCTAGCCTGCCTCAACCTTTCGTCGGAGAACTCATCTAAAGTAACAACTTCAGGCTCTTCTCTGTCTTCGATGGATTCCAGAACCGAGCCATGATTGTCGATTCGTTTCGTTATAACTCTAACTTTCCTCATTATAACTTTAGTTGACGGAGACGAGAGGGACGCTGCAACTTCTCCACCCACCTGAAAGCAGTACACAAAGAAAATTGTAAAACGACATAAAAACATGACAGGAAATAACTCTAAGCAAATGAGCCATCCAAAAAAGAAATTGTTAACAAAAATTCAAAAATATTAAGTTCAAAAAACAAGTCAAGAGTGTCCTTAAAAGGATTAGTCTCCACGTAAAAAAATTATGAAATCACAAGGCGAGCACTTAATATAAGTCGTGCAAAAAAATATGCGAACAGATGCACACAAGTTCCAAAGGCCAGGAATAGGAAGCGAAAAAACTGAGCTAAAATTGTAATTTACTTCTGACAAAACCAATGCATGCAAGGCGTTATTAAAAAAATACAAGCACTGCCAGCAAAGCCCAAATCAAAACCTTACCAACGCGGAAGCATGCAAAACCAACAAACATTCGTAAGTAAAGAGGCCCGTGTGTCACCACCGCAAAAACCTATGACACACAACAATCACAACCACAGCCACATACGTGAAAAGAATTACTGTGCCGTACCTTGTGATCCGAAGGATGAGACAAAATACCCTGACTGGAAGAAGGGCCCGACATATCAGGTGAAGGGCCGATGGTAAAAGTAAATACAGAGGGAAGAGCCCTGATGATTTTGTCCAGCGCCGAGGGCTTTTCGTCCTGCTGGGGCTCTTCCACCTTCTCGTCCAGCACCTGCCTCTTGCCGTCCTTGACCGTGATGGTGCGCACCACACGTCGGATGACCCGGAACTTGCCTGGCTTGGTCTCGTCGAGATCGGTTTCCACGACCTGCTCTTTGCCGTCTGGAAGCACGATGACGTACACCAGCTTGGTGACCTTCTTCTTGGCGCCCTTGGGCATAGCGTCCTCGGGCTCCTCGGCGTCCTCCTCCGTGGTCTGCTCGGAGCCGTCGGGCAGTTGAACGCGTCGGATCAGCTTGACACGACGCACCCACTCGTCCGGACGCTTCTTCAGGTCGTCTTGGGTCACGTACAGCTCGGGGAAGTGGGCTTCCTCCTCGGTGACTTGCTCCTTGCCGTCAGGACCGATGATGACCTTTCGGATGATTTTCCTGAGACGCGAGAAGATGGACGGCTTGCCGCCCTCCGGGTGTTCGTCCACGTCCTCCTGAGTCACTTCTTCCTGGCCGTCCGGTCTCACCACGATGTAAATCGTCCTCTTGATGACACGAGGGCGGGCGGGGTCGATCAGGGCGGCAGGCATGGGCTCCTCCCGCTTCTCCTCCGTGACCGTCTCTTTGCCGTCGGGCCCGATCACCTTGCGAATGATCTTGACCTTGATGATGTTCTCGCCCACGGGGGTCGACTGTCGCTCCAGGGTGGCGGTCTTGGGTGAGCCTCGGTCTTGGGAGCCTTGGACTTGACGTCCTCGACGACAGGCGCCTTCTCCTTGTGCTTCTTGTCCTTGCTCTTGGTGTCGGGCGTCTTGGGCTCTGGCGTCTTTTCCTTCACCTTCTTTTCCTTCTCCTTCTTGTCCTTCTTGTCCTTGACGGGCTCCTTGACGGGCTCCGGCGTCGCCGGCGCTGCCGCTGCCACGGTGATCTTGGGGTCCGGCCGTTCGTCCCAGAAGGACCTTTCGACCTGGATAAAGTCAGCTGTGGGTGGTCGCAGGTCTGGCCTCACCTCCTCGGGCTTGGCCTCCTTGGGCGCGAAGGCGATCGACACGGCGCTGATGATTTTGTCCAGCGCCGAGGGCTTTTCGTCCTGCTGGGGCTCTTCCACCTTCTCGTCCAGCACCTGCCTCTTGCCGTCCTTGACCGTGATGGTGCGCACCACACGTCGGATGACCCGGAACTTGCCTGGCTTGGTCTCGTCGAGATCGGTTTCCACGACCTGCTCTTTGCCGTCTGGAAGCACGATGACGTACACCAGCTTGGTGACCTTCTTCTTGGCGCCCTTGGGCATAGCGTCCTCGGGCTCCTCGGCGTCCTCCTCCGTGGTCTGCTCGGAGCCGTCGGGCAGTTGAACGCGTCGGATCAGCTTGACACGACGCACCCACTCGTCCGGACGCTTCTTCAGGTCGTCTTGGGTCACGTACAGCTCGGGGAAGTGGGCTTCCTCCTCGGTGACTTGCTCCTTGCCGTCAGGACCGATGATGACCTTTCGGATGATTTTCCTGAGACGCGAGAAGATGGACGGCTTGCCGCCCTCCGGGTGTTCGTCCACGTCCTCCTGAGTCACTTCTTCCTGGCCGTCCGGTCTCACCACGATGTAAATCGTCCTCTTGATGACACGAGGGCGGGCGGGGTCGATCAGGGCGGCAGGCATGGGCTCCTCCCGCTTCTCCTCCGTGACCGTCTCTTTGCCGTCGGGCCCGATCACCTTGCGAATGATCTTGACCTTGATGATGTTCTCGCCCACGGGGGTCGACTGTCGCTCCAGGGTGGCGGTCTTGGGTGAGGCCTCGGTCTTGGGAGCCTTGGACTTGACGTCCTCGACGACAGGCGCCTTCTCCTTGTGCTTCTTGTCCTTGCTCTTGGTGTCGGGCGTCTTGGGCTCTGGCGTCTTTTCCTTCACCTTCTTTTCCTTCTCCTTCTTGTCCTTCTTGTCCTTGACGGGCTCCTTGACGGGCTCCGGCGTCGCCGGCGCTGCCGCTGCCACGGTGATCTTGGGGTCCGGCCGTTCGTCCCAGAAGGACCTTTCGACCTGGATAAAGTCAGCTGTGGGTGGTCGCAGGTCTGGCCTCACCTCCTCGGGCTTGGCCTCCTTGGGCGCGAAGGCGATCGACACGGCGCTGATGATTTTGTCCAGCGCCGAGGGCTTTTCGTCCTGCTGGGGCTCTTCCACCTTCTCGTCCAGCACCTGCCTCTTGCCGTCCTTGACCGTGATGGTGCGCACCACACGTCGGATGACCCGGAACTTGCCTGGCTTGGTCTCGTCGAGATCGGTTTCCACGACCTGCTCTTTGCCGTCTGGAAGCACGATGACGTACACCAGCTTGGTGACCTTCTTCTTGGCGCCCTTGGGCATAGCGTCCTCGGGCTCCTCGGCGTCCTCCTCCGTGGTCTGCTCGGAGCCGTCGGGCAGTTGAACGCGTCGGATCAGCTTGACACGACGCACCCACTCGTCCGGACGCTTCTTCAGGTCGTCTTGGGTCACGTACAGCTCGGGGAAGTGGGCTTCCTCCTCGGTGACTTGCTCCTTGCCGTCAGGACCGATGATGACCTTTCGGATGATTTTCCTGAGACGCGAGAAGATGGACGGCTTGCCGCCCTCCGGGTGTTCGTCCACGTCCTCCTGAGTCACTTCTTCCTGGCCGTCCGGTCTCACCACGATGTAAATCGTCCTCTTGATGACACGAGGGCGGGCGGGGTCGATCAGGGCGGCAGGCATGGGCTCCTCCCGCTTCTCCTCCGTGACCGTCTCTTTGCCGTCGGGCCCGATCACCTTGCGAATGATCTTGACCTTGATGATGTTCTCGCCCACGGGGGTCGACTGTCGCTCCAGGGTGGCGGTCTTGGGTGAGGCCTCGGTCTTGGGAGCCTTGGACTTGACGTCCTCGACGACAGGCGCCTTCTCCTTGTGCTTCTTGTCCTTGCTCTTGGTGTCGGGCGTCTTGGGCTCTGGCGTCTTTTCCTTCACCTTCTTTTCCTTCTCCTTCTTGTCCTTCTTGTCCTTGACGGGCTCCTTGACGGGCTCCGGCGTCGCCGGCGCTGCCGCTGCCACGGTGATCTTGGGGTCCGGCCGTTCGTCCCAGAAGGACCTTTCGACCTGGATAAAGTCAGCTGTGGGTGGTCGCAGGTCTGGCCTCACCTCCTCGGGCTTGGCCTCCTTGGGCGCGAAGGCGATCGACACGGCGCTGATGATTTTGTCCAGCGCCGAGGGCTTTTCGTCCTGCTGGGGCTCTTCCACCTTCTCGTCCAGCACCTGCCTCTTGCCGTCCTTGACCGTGATGGTGCGCACCACACGTCGGATGACCCGGAACTTGCCTGGCTTGGTCTCGTCGAGATCGGTTTCCACGACCTGCTCTTTGCCGTCTGGAAGCACGATGACGTACACCAGCTTGGTGACCTTCTTCTTGGCGCCCTTGGGCATAGCGTCCTCGGGCTCCTCGGCGTCCTCCTCCGTGGTCTGCTCGGAGCCGTCGGGCAGTTGAACGCGTCGGATCAGCTTGACACGACGCACCCACTCGTCCGGACGCTTCTTCAGGTCGTCTTGGGTCACGTACAGCTCGGGGAAGTGGGCTTCCTCCTCGGTGACTTGCTCCTTGCCGTCAGGACCGATGATGACCTTTCGGATGATTTTCCTGAGACGCGAGAAGATGGACGGCTTGCCGCCCTCCGGGTGTTCGTCCACGTCCTCCTGAGTCACTTCTTCCTGGCCGTCCGGTCTCACCACGATGTAAATCGTCCTCTTGATGACACGAGGGCGGGCGGGGTCGATCAGGGCGGCAGGCATGGGCTCCTCCCGCTTCTCCTCCGTGACCGTCTCTTTGCCGTCGGGCCCGATCACCTTGCGAATGATCTTGACCTTGATGATGTTCTCGCCCACGGGGGTCGACTGTCGCTCCAGGGTGGCGGTCTTGGGTGAGGCCTCGGTCTTGGGAGCCTTGGACTTGACGTCCTCGACGACAGGCGCCTTCTCCTTGTGCTTCTTGTCCTTGCTCTTGGTGTCGGGCGTCTTGGGCTCTGGCGTCTTTTCCTTCACCTTCTTTTCCTTCTCCTTCTTGTCCTTCTTGTCCTTGACGGGCTCCTTGACGGGCTCCGGCGTCGCCGGCGCTGCTGTCCTTGTCTTGCGGGCTCTTGGGCTCGGCGTCTTCCTCACTTCTTGCGTCCCTTCGTCCTGGCCTTCGCCTGAAGCCGGGTGCGGGCTGGCTCCCGTGCTTGGCCCCTGGCGCCCAGAGACCCGCCTGGATAAGTCCGCGGGGTTTCGCGGCTGGCTCTTCCCGCTTGGCCCCTGGCGAGGCTGACCGGGTGAATGTCGGCCGGGCTTGCCTGCTGGGGCTCTCCACTCCGTCCACACCTGCTCTTGCCGTCTTGACCGTGAGGTCCCCAGTGGTGACCCGACTTGCCTGGCTTGCTCCTCGGTCGTCCGCCTCTCTGCCGTCGGAGCAGCGTACCGCTTGGTACCTTCTCGGCGCCCCATCGTCCGGCTCCTCGGCGTCCTCTCCGTTCGCTCGGAGCGTCGCCCGTGACTTGTCCTTGCCAGACACACTTCCGGAGTTCCTAGCGCGGGGACGTCGCCCGGGGGTGGTCCCTCGTCTTGCTCCTTCCGCGGCCGGTACCCGATGATTTTCCTCGAGAAGAGGCGGCTGCGCCCTCGGGGGTCGCAGCCTCCTGCCTTCTTCCTGGCCGTCTCTCACCACGAGTAAATCGTCCTTGATGACGGGGCTGGCGGGTCGACCAGCGGGGCATGGTCCTCCCGCTTCTCCTCGTGACCGTCTCTTGGGGCCTGATCACCTTCGAGATCTTACCTTGTGTTCTCGCCCGGGGTCGCTGCGCTCCAGGTGGCGGTCTTGGGTGACCTCGGTCTTGGCCTTGGACTTCGTCCTCGACGGGCTTCCTTGGGCTCGTGCCTGCCTGGCCGGGGTCTTGGGTCGGCGTCTCCTAACCTTTCCTTATCTTGGTTTGCTCTGGCCTCCTCGGGCTCCGGGCGCGGGCGTGACGGCCCGTGATTTGGGGCCGGGTTCGTCCGCGGGCTTTCACCTGGTCAGCGCCTTGGCGCGGTGGTCCCCCGGTTGGCTCCGGCTGAGGCTTGGTCCGGCGGATGTTTCCAGCGCCGGGCTTTCGTCTGGGGGCCTCACCTTCCGTCGGACCTCTCTTGCCGCCTTGGCAGGCTGGGCCCCGGCGGTCCCGGACTGCCGGGCTTCGCCGTGAGGTCGGTCAGCCTGCCGTGCCCGCCGACGTCCCAGCTTGGGCCTTCTTGGGCTGGGCTCTCCTCGGGCTTGCTCCTCCTCGGCGTGAGCCTCGGAGTTAACGCGGGATAGCTTGCCGCCCCCCTGTCCGGCGCTTCTTAGTGTCTGGTCCGCGTCGGGTCTCCCCGGTATTCTCTTGCGCACGAGATCCCGCTTCTCCTCCGTGACCGTCTCTTTGCCGTCGGGCCCGATCACCTTGCGAATGATCTTGACCTTGATGATGTTCTCGCCCACGGGGGTCGACTGTCGCTCCAGGGTGGCGGTCTTGGGTGAGCCTCGGTCTTGGGAGCCGGGCGGGGTCGATCAGGGCGGCAGGCATGGGCTCCTCCCGCTTCTCCTCCGTGACCGTCTCTTTGCCGTCGGGCCCGATCACCTTGCGAATGATCTTGACCTTGATGATGTTCTCGCCCACGGGGGTCGACTGTCGCTCCAGGGTGGCGGTCTTGGGTGAGGCCTCGGTCTTGGGAGCCTTGGACTTGACGTCCTCGACGACAGGCGCCTTCTCCTTGTGCTTCTTGTCCTTGCTCTTGGTGTCGGGCGTCTTGGGCTCTGGCGTCTTTTCCTTCACCTTCTTTTCCTTCTCCTTCTTGTCCTTCTTGTCCTTGACGGGCTCCTTGACGGGCTCCGGCGTCGCCGGCGCTGCCGCTGCCACGGTGATCTTGGGGTCCGGCCGTTCGTCCCAGAAGGACCTTTCGACCTGGATAAAGTCAGCTGTGGGTGGTCGCAGGTCTGGCCTCACCTCCTCGGGCTTGGCCTCCTTGGGCGCGAAGGCGATCGACACGGCGCTGATGATTTTGTCCAGCGCCGAGGGCTTTTCGTCCTGCTGGGGCTCTTCCACCTTCTCGTCCAGCACCTGCCTCTTGCCGTCCTTGACCGTGATGGTGCGCACCACACGTCGGATGACCCGGAACTTGCCTGGCTTGGTCTCGTCGAGATCGGTTTCCACGACCTGCTCTTTGCCGTCTGGAAGCACGATGACGTACACCAGCTTGGTGACCTTCTTCTTGGCGCCCTTGGGCATAGCGTCCTCGGGCTCCTCGGCGTCCTCCTCCGTGGTCTGCTCGGAGCCGTCGGGCAGTTGAACGCGTCGGATCAGCTTGACACGACGCACCCACTCGTCCGGACGCTTCTTCAGGTCGTCTTGGGTCACGTACAGCTCGGGGAAGTGGGCTTCCTCCTCGGTGACTTGCTCCTTGCCGTCAGGACCGATGATGACCTTTCGGATGATTTTCCTGAGACGCGAGAAGATGGACGGCTTGCCGCCCTCCGGGTGTTCGTCCACGTCCTCCTGAGTCACTTCTTCCTGGCCGTCCGGTCTCACCACGATGTAAATCGTCCTCTTGATGACACGAGGGCGGGCGGGGTCGATCAGGGCGGCAGGCATGGGCTCCTCCCGCTTCTCCTCCGTGACCGTCTCTTTGCCGTCGGGCCCGATCACCTTGCGAATGATCTTGACCTTGATGATGTTCTCGCCCACGGGGGTCGACTGTCGCTCCAGGGTGGCGGTCTTGGGTGAGGCCTCGGTCTTGGGAGCCTTGGACTTGACGTCCTCGACGACAGGCGCCTTCTCCTTGTGCTTCTTGTCCTTGCTCTTGGTGTCGGGCGTCTTGGGCTCTGGCGTCTTTTCCTTCACCTTCTTTTCCTTCTCCTTCTTGTCCTTCTTGTCCTTGACGGGCTCCTTGACGGGCTCCGGCGTCGCCGGCGCTGCCGCTGCCACGGTGATCTTGGGGTCCGGCCGTTCGTCCCAGAAGGACCTTTCGACCTGGATAAAGTCAGCTGTGGGTGGTCGCAGGTCTGGCCTCACCTCCTCGGGCTTGGCCTCCTTGGGCGCGAAGGCGATCGACACGGCGCTGATGATTTTGTCCAGCGCCGAGGGCTTTTCGTCCTGCTGGGGCTCTTCCACCTTCTCGTCCAGCACCTGCCTCTTGCCGTCCTTGACCGTGATGGTGCGCACCACACGTCGGATGACCCGGAACTTGCCTGGCTTGGTCTCGTCGAGATCGGTTTCCACGACCTGCTCTTTGCCGTCTGGAAGCACGATGACGTACACCAGCTTGGTGACCTTCTTCTTGGCGCCCTTGGGCATAGCGTCCTCGGGCTCCTCGGCGTCCTCCTCCGTGGTCTGCTCGGAGCCGTCGGGCAGTTGAACGCGTCGGATCAGCTTGACACGACGCACCCACTCGTCCGGACGCTTCTTCAGGTCGTCTTGGGTCACGTACAGCTCGGGGAAGTGGGCTTCCTCCTCGGTGACTTGCTCCTTGCCGTCAGGACCGATGATGACCTTTCGGATGATTTTCCTGAGACGCGAGAAGATGGACGGCTTGCCGCCCTCCGGGTGTTCGTCCACGTCCTCCTGAGTCACTTCTTCCTGGCCGTCCGGTCTCACCACGATGTAAATCGTCCTCTTGATGACACGAGGGCGGGCGGGGTCGATCAGGGCGGCAGGCATGGGCTCCTCCCGCTTCTCCTCCGTGACCGTCTCTTTGCCGTCGGGCCCGATCACCTTGCGAATGATCTTGACCTTGATGATGTTCTCGCCCACGGGGGTCGACTGTCGCTCCAGGGTGGCGGTCTTGGGTGAGGCCTCGGTCTTGGGAGCCTTGGACTTGACGTCCTCGACGACAGGCGCCTTCTCCTTGTGCTTCTTGTCCTTGCTCTTGGTGTCGGGCGTCTTGGGCTCTGGCGTCTTTTCCTTCACCTTCTTTTCCTTCTCCTTCTTGTCCTTCTTGTCCTTGACGGGCTCCTTGACGGGCTCCGGCGTCGCCGGCGCTGCCGCTGCCACGGTGATCTTGGAGTCCGGCCGTTCGTCCCAGAAGGACTTTTCAATTTGGATGAAGGCGGCGGATGGCTCCTGTTTGAAGCTGTGAGCCTACAAATTTGGGAACAAAATTTTATTAGAGTTTATTATGAGCCCCTATTTACACAATCAATCTACATTTTTAAAATTTTCTAATGTGAGCAAAATAATCTTTTCTGGCCTTCTACGGTGCTTTCTACGCATATTCGGTTTTTATTTCTACGTGAATGCTTTCTAGCGTAAAATTTCTTTTCGTTACCTTGTTTTGACGTTTTATTGCTTTCTTTAATAATGTGGTTTCTTACCTTAGAAATCTGCTTCTCCGCATTTCCCGCAGTTTCTTGCATCGTTTCAGGATTGCCCGTTGTTCTTTGATTGCTCGACTGAAATGGTAAATGTTTTGTAATATTAGTTTGTAACAGGGACCGTATGCTTTCAAATGATGCTGGGTCTTCGTCCTTTGGTTCTTCAACGTTTTCCTCACAGACTGTCTTTCGTCCATCTTGGATAGCGATTGTTCTAATTGTTCGTCGGATTACTTGGTATTGTCCAGGCTGGATTTCTTTGAGGTCAGTCTCCACAACAATCTCATTGCCTTCTAATGGTACGTATGCGTAGATTATTTTTACTACTTTTACGTTAGCTTCCTTTGGTTTTACCATTTGGGGTTCTGAGACTTCCCCTTCTGTTGTTTGTTCCTTCCCATCGCTTTTTTGAACAGTACGAATCACCTGTATGCGGTGAAGCCATTCATTCTTCCGACCTTTAATTTCTTCTTCCGACAGGTATATTTCTGGAAAATGTATTCTCGTTTTTCTTACTAATTGGGCTATTGGACATTCGAGATCAATGTCTGCCTCTTCTTCCACATATTCTTGAGTTACGTGCTCCTGGCCGTCAGGACCTATGACAATGTAAATGGTTTTGCGAATAATGATTGGATGCTCAGGATCAACTTGATCTGCTGGTAATAGATCTTTGGTTATATTTTCAGTTGTCTGTTCAGACCCATCCTCTGCAATTGACTTCTTTATTGTTCTAGTAATAATTATATTTTCTTCTGCTTTTAGACTCGTTTTTGACTTGCTCGTCAAAGTCATTTCTTGTTTTTGCTCATTTTTCCTTTCAGGAACTTTCTGCGCCATTTCGTCAACAATCTCTTCAATTGTCTTAGTTTCTGTCATTCTAACGTCTACTTCATCTTTGCTTATAAGTGTTTTTGAACCATTCTCAGTTTTAAAAATGCTTATTACTTTTCGAATGATCTTGAACTTTCCAGGCTTGATTTCTTCTGCGTCAGTTTCGGTATATATTTCATCGCCAGTGGGGTAGGTCAGTTGATACACAACTTTCGTTATTTGACGGATCTTTTCTTTTCCTTTCTTTCCTTTTGAAGTGTTCATTTCTTGTTCCATGTCCTCCTCTGTAGTTTGAAGAGTACCATCAGGTAAAATAGTTGTTCTTATAAACTTTATGGTCTTAACATGCTCTCCAGGGTGAGTAGTTATTTCTTCTAATGGATCGTAATATTCCGCCATAGGACTAGGAGGTTCGTGGATTTCTGTTACTTGGTGTTCAAGGTTTTCATTTGACACAACCTTTTTCATCATGTCTTTTGTGTCCTTTACAAGTCTAGCTAGCATACCTGGTTTCTTCGGTGATGATTCCTCTGTATCCTCTTGCGATATTTCTTCCGAACCATCGGGCCTTACTGTTACATTTATCACCCTCCGGACAATTCGGGACTTTTGAGGGTTGATAAGGTGCTCTGGCAAAGGTTCTTCGTGCTTTTCCACTGTTACACGCTCTTTTCCATCCTGGCTTTGAACTTTTCTTATAATTTTCACCTTTAAAATATTACCATATTTAGAAGGGCTTGTTGGACTTTCCTTTAACACTTGAGACTCTTTAGATATCTTAGCTTCCCCTCTTTTTTTCCGTTCAGGAGGTGAAGGACTTTGGGTTGTTTCTTGATGTTCGTAGCCCGGCAACTTCGGTGCTTTTTTAGCGATATCATTTATAGCTGACATCATATCGTCATAGGTCGCGTTAGGTTCCGATTCTTCTTTTTCTTCTGTGACCACTTTGCTGCCATCTCTTACCTTTACAAAGCGAACTATTTTCCTCAAAACACGGTACTGCTTTTTAGAAACTTGGTCATTTGGCAAAACTTCAAAATCAGTCTCAGTAACATGCTCATTGGCATTGGGGTAAATTACAACATACACAATCTTTGTAACAGTTTTTACTGAAAGTAACTGAGTTTTTTCAACGGTTTCATCAGTCTCGTTTATGTGAATAACCACAGTTTGTTCAGCACCGTCATTACTAAGAGATTTTTTGACAACTGTTATTTGCTCAACCTTTTCATTTGGTCTTGATTTCATCGCCTCTCTTGAAATGTAGTAATCAGGTAGCGCCCCATCTGCCTCGTCATCGGCTTCCACTGGTGAGTGGGTTTTAGTTTGCTTTTCTTGAAAAACAGTAGTAGTTGGCTCACCTGTAATCACAGACTCTGTAACACTTTCCTCGGGCTCATCCAATATTTCCTCAGTAACTACTTCTCTGCCGTCTACTAGAGACACTTTTTTTACTATTCTCCTTGTCTTTTTTACCTCCCTTGTCACGACAGTTGGTATCACAGTCTTTGTTGTAGTAACTTGCCAGCTTGAAATTGATCCTTTGGTCGTGCCAAGGGTTCCTGCAAGGAAATTGGGAACTTCTTCCTCATGTTGAGTTAAATTATCATTTTCTTTGCCAGTTGTCTTGTGGGCCTTCTTAAGGGAACGCACAGCGTCTTCAGGAACTTTAACTCCGACCAGTACGCCACCAAAAGGTGCACGCTTTGCTTTAGTTTCAGTAATAATATCCTCTTCCACTGGCTGTCTTTTATCAGGAGATGAAGGTCTTTGAGGTGAAACTGACGCCCTTGGGGCTGGAGTTGGAGTGTTAGATCGGCTTCGATCAGGAATGTTTCGTCTAGGAGGGGCCACTGGTGTTTGAAAACCTAGTAGCGGCAATATTTTTTCTGGGTACCCTTCATGTTTCATTTGTTCGTTTTTAACAAAATCTGACACTACTTCTTTGATATCTATCTTGGAAACCTTCTCTGGTGACGGAGACCGTGACGGTGCCTTTACAGCAACACACAAATCTTCAACAACACCTCCCCCAGTTGGAATGTCTACACTATCTTTTCCTGGGGTAGCCTTATCATCAGAAAGCCCTGGGGACTTCTCTTTTCTAGAAATACTTTCTTCAATCGGAAATGGCTGCGTGGAGGTTCTTGGACTATCGTCACAAACATCTGGTGGAGGTGGAGTTTCCATTTTTTTCTTTGACTTTATTTCGTGTTCTGTTGATTTTTCTTTTGATTTCTGTCTTTTTAATTTTGGCGTTCCAAACAGCGTTTCTTTAATGGACCATCGCTCCTTTTGTCTGCTCTCTTTTGGTGGACTCTCTTTTTCCCTTATCAATGACTTTGTCTTTGGAGATGGAGTAGTTGAAGAATCTGAAATAGGTCGTTCAGATGGCAAAGTACTTGAAGATGGTTTAGTTGCTTGTGGAACTGCTTGGTCAGAAGGAGAATCATCTAAACAAGGGATTTCTACAATTTCCTCAACTACTTGCTCTTTTCCATCTACAACTACAACTTTCTTGATAACCCTTCTTATTGTTCGGACTAAATCTGTTCCGTCTTCTGTGACAACGATTTCTTCATCATATTCTTTTCCATCAGGTCCTTTAGCTTTTTTATGTATCTGTTTTGTTCTTCGTGTGATTGGAGAAGCTCCGGGGGAAGGTGATAGCTCTTCTGTACTGACATAATATTCTGCTGCACCACCTTGAATCTCGTCATCTGGAGTAACCACATATTCCTGGCCCTCAGACCCAATTGCTTTCTTAAATGCCTTCTTGGTGCGCTTTGCAAACCGAGAAAAAACTGACGGACTTTTTCCTTTGACACCAGAGCTTGAAATAGCATCCACAGATAACCTTCCATTCGACCCTAAATCTCTTGTTTCTATTGAAACTTGACTTCCTCCAACAGATTCCAGTGATTCAGCGCGGTGTCTGTCCAAAATTGGTGAGGTTCCCTGAGATTTCAGATAAGATTGTGATGGTAAAGAAGTGTATCCTCTTTCTTGCTCTGCGGCACCTCGGTCACCAGATCTATTTATCTCTATACTCACTCTAGGTATGCTTTCACCACTTTCCTCTATTTCCTCGGGCTCATCAACCACCTCCTCCGTGACGTGTTCTTTGCCATCAATGATAACAATTTTTCTGATAACTTTCCTTTTTTGGCGTACAACACGTCTTGACACCTGCTGGACAGTCGCTCTTACACTCGAAGCTGATGTTATTAATTCTTGTGAGTCGACGTCGAGCTCGATTGGAAGAGTTATTTGAGATGTAGAATCACCAGAGATTATTCTTCCTTCCAGTTCAGCTCTGTCAAGTCTCATAAGTTCATTTGCAGTTGGAATACCATGAAGCGTGACACTGTTGCTTGGTGGCTGACTTCTAAAGTCAGAGACCAATACACTGCCCCCATCAACCCCTGTTGCTATTCTTCCTGTATAATCTTTGCTTTGAGTTACATGTGTACTCCCGTCATCTTGCTGACGTGATACAGCCGTTTGTTGACTCTGTAACACAATTTGACTAAATGCCGTTTGTTCAGATTCGGGCACTAAATGTCCGTCCCTCGTTGAGACGGAATGAAGTTCTTGTCGTTGTGAAGAGACAACTTGTTGTTGGGTGACTAGAGTTCTTCTGACCTGCCTGACTATCACACGTTTATTTCCTTGTGCATCCACTATTACTTCTGTAGTTGTTTCACCGGGGTCTACCAAAACAGTCTCAAAGGATTGTGGTTCCATATGTAGAATACTTAACTCCGATTGTAAATTATCTAGCAAACCTTCGGCTTGGTGCTTATCCTTGTATTTAACTTGAACCAATAAATCATCATTTTTCAGAGGCAGAGATGATGTTGGAGAGGTACTTGGCAAATAAGAAGTGGAAGTGGAAATATCAGGCATAGTAACAAATTCAATTACTTCATGATCTCCGTCTACTTTTTTCAAAACCTGAATATGACTTCTTTGCAGAGAATCAGTCTGTGCAGATTGACTTTTCGGTCCACGGAGGCTGTCCCCTGTTTGCGAACCTATATCTTTGCCACGTGCCGGCATTTCTTCGGAGTGGATCGGTGAAGCACCAGATGAAATGGTACTTCCTGGTGATAACACCAACAGTGACGCCTGCAACAAAAAACAAATAATTAAAATTTAAGAAGATCCAAACAATTTTATTTGTCCTCTTATATAAGAAAGCAATTTATTTCAAAGAGTTTCGCTAACATTCAGTCCATTTCTAAACGTATCCAGCAAATGACACCATTCGAAGAGTGCAAATTTCTTAACTAGGTGTAAAAGATGCAAGCAATAACGCGTATCAGAAATAAACAAGAGCCCAAAGCCAAAAAGGTGCGGACAGGCGGGCCCCCAAGATCAGGACGCGAAAAGCTCTCAAGAAGCAGCTAATTTTAGAACGTGTAGCAACACAACCCCCACCTCCACCTCCACCTCTACCCGTCTCTCTCTCTCTCTCTCTCTCTCTCTCTCAACCCTTCTTTCAGCCAATGCCAAAGCACTGCCACTGCAACCCTTTATAATGAGCAGTATTTCTCATAAATCATTTCCAACAAAATGAAAAAATCTCTTTTAACATTTTAAATCTTGTTTTACTGACAAGCTTTTTTTTTTCAGGATTAAGAATCTAGTGGCTTCTTTTGTAGTGACACTTTCATTTAAGAACTAATTAAGAGAAGTTTTCAAAAGGGTTTCCACGTATTGGAACTTTTTAATAAAACCTCCTGTGCTGTCAAAACTTAACAATCTTTTTGACTCTACTGGGCAAGAAGGCCAGGTGCTTATTTTGACACTTAGAATAATAGATGTCGGATGAGGTGTTTTACAGACCGAGTTGGCTATAAATATTTTGGTCTGGTTATCCGAGCAGCACTTTGAAGTGCGTGGTTGTTGGGCGCCATGAGTAGGTGTGTACAGGAAAAGACATGCGCCACGTTCAGAGCCAGCAGCACTTCGTGAGCGGCCATTGAGAATTTTTTCTACTGCGGGGTGCGAGAATAGTGTTGTTGAAGCATGCTTTTAGGCTCGTTCTTTGCGAGCATGTGCTTACTGAGTACACAGCCAAGGAAGAACAACGTGCGTACTGATTATTGATGCCTCTTTTATTTTTAAAGGGCAGTGTAAAGTTTGTCCGATGAAGAAAACCACAGTTAAGTGGTGCACTGAAAACAGTGAAATAAATCAGAAGCATTCCACCTTTTGGAAAAAATTGTAACTAAGGTATATATCAGTGCAACACCCACAGTCTTTCCAGAAATGATCCTACAGCACATAGAGAATTGTCTTTATTTTAATAACTCAACACTTATGACAAAATGCTACATGTATAAATAAAGTCAATGGGTTTCTATATCACAAGTCTGTCACACAAAGAGAAATATTTTAATAACATTTCCTGCGAAGAGTTTAGGTCTTTTACATGACTTAAGGGCCAAGGTGAATAACTATCAGAATGCTAAAGAACTTGAATGATTTTATGTATTCTCAATTGAATGTCACTGCTTAAATGCAAATGCCACAGCAACAAAAGCGTTTCTTGCTTGACCTACGTTGACAAACTATAATGGCCGTGACTTTCGCAGTAGGACGTTCTGTAACTAATGCAACAAAAGTGCAGAAATAAATTTAAAAAAATACTGGGCATAAAATTGTTTACCCCAAGAAAAATACCTGGAAAACAATTTAAATTTAAGGCAAGGATATTTTTTCAGTTAGGTACAAAAGCTGTACAAAACGCAGAAAGCTATAAAGCCATTTATGTAAAACGAAAATAAGCAAAGATAAGAAAGGAGCATAAAACATTTTTCACTTACAAAAGCGTATAACCCGCAACCAAAAAGCACTAAAAAGCTACAAGAAGGCTCAAGGGTTGAAAGCAATGGGACTATGCTGAGGCAAAACAGATACCAGGTTGTGACCCAGGTACCTGTAGGGCAGCGATGCGAGCTGGAACTACATCACTGAGTTCCTGGAAAGCATCTTGGAGTGATGTCAATTGTGACAGAAGGCTAGGAGCCAGGTGTTGTGTGTCGGGTTGCCGCTGCAGAGCCGCGCAGATATCGGACAGCTGTTGTAACCGAGTTTCATGATGTCGGAGCTCAGAACCAAGCCGCTGAAACAAATATTGGCAAAACGTATAAATCAAGGAGGCACTTACGACGGCAGAAGCTTTAAATAATATGTACTTACCTTGTGAGCGGAGAGTTGATTTTGAAGTTCTGCAACAGGGATATCTTGCACATTGGCACTGACAAGCTGGCTGGCAGATGAGAACCAACGTTCCAGATCGGCAAGAAGTGCTTGGTACTGCGTCAGGGACTGTTCTCTTGACATGCCACGATGTTCAGCGTTCTATAAGGAACAAACAGCAAATAAACTCAAAAATTGATATTGAGTGCTTAAAAGAAAGCTCCTAAGATGTTAGCTCCTTTTTTGGGCTGAACACAATAGACAGCTTGCATTCGGCAATAAACTGTTGGTTAAGAAATTTTGATTGAGCCGGGAAGAGCAAGAGTTAATTTATGTCGTAATAAGAGAAAAAAGGTTTACGGCAATATAAAAAAGGAGAGAAAAGTCCTAAAAACAAAAAAAGGACTGTACTTTTGCAGAGCCTCCCGTAGGACCGCTGAGTAGCATAGAAAATATTGTGACTGATACCTGAATTGCCGCACGTCCTTGTAAGAGATGAGTGACTAGTTCAGCAAGATGAGCTCGAACTTCTGACAAACCATGGGACAGAGCTAACGTCTCTTCATCTTGAGGCAAACAGTCCAAGTTGTCTTGCACGCGAGCGGCAACTGCGTCTTTTACCATTAACTCCGACAAAATTCGCTGAAAAAATAAAGTAAATCAAGATTAGATGTTATGTTCTGGAATATAGTAGCAAAATATAGCTACCGAACGGTTCCTTGAAAGGTTTTGAACTTTGCTTTTACTTGAGCCCCTACCTCAAGTTCACCGTGCATGGCAGTAAGACTATGTGCAGGGAGCGCCTCCAATTCCTTTTCTGACTGGGCGACAGCAGCGGCCAGCATCGCTGTATCCCGAACAATTTTATCCTGCAACAAGAAAGAAACATGCAACTTGAGAACAAGAAGACCGCTGGATTTAGGAACACAGTATGTTAATTGTTCAGCAAACACTGATTAACACGTAATGCTAATTAAAAAGTTAGGAACCAGTGCCAAACATGCAAACGCACGTCAATTATACCACAAGAATATGGTTAACAACTTTAATTCACATTTGTTGGAAAAGACAGATGGCTGTTTACTAGACGGGAGAAAACAAACAAACATGCAAACCAGTTCATGTGGTGGATGTTCAAAATCGACAATATGCCATTGCGAGGAAACACAAAACTGATTACAACACACTTGTTGGAAACGTTAGTTTTCACCTATAGCAAAAAAAGTTTATAAAATTCTGGTAAAGGGCAAAAAATAAAGTAGGTCGTTTTTGAGCACTCCGTTTGAATAAAACTGCAGGCAACACAAAAGAGGACAAGCAACAAATATCCACAACAAGCGACCCCCAAACCTTCAAATTCACAGAAGACGATGGACTGGGCAAGGCACCAGAAGTAGTGGTGGTGCAAAGGGACTCCGAATCAAGCTGTAAACCTTGGGAGGTTTCCTGCAGGCTTGCATTTATTGTGTGAACTTTGCCGAGGGTGCTGCCAGACACGTCTGACCCATTTTTGGATTTAACGTGCTGGGCACCTTGATCCCCTTTTTTGCTAGAATTCGGCTCCTCAGCTGTCTTTTTCTGTTTTCCGTCAATGTCCGGGTCGTTGTTAGTAGGTTTAAACGTGTCCGTCAAGTCCGTTGCGTTAGTCCGTTTGGCAAGTTTTGTTTGCCATTTCTTTTCTGCTTCATGGCATGCCCATTTATCTTGCCAGAAATCCACATCAAAGCATTCAAATTTCTTGTTAGATCCTTTAGGTGCATCAGGAAGAAAGGCTTCTTTCTCGATCACAGTTTTAATTTTTTCAGTATTTTCATCAGCTAAGCGAGGAGGTAGCTCAGAAGACATTAGCAGCTCAGCAGATCTATCACTTTGATTCTTTTCCTCAGTTTTGTCAGGTGTGCCTGGGTGCAGCTCACGGGATACAGCGGAGTCGGCATGTTGGCGCTCTTCCTTTGTTTTCCCAGTTGAGCTGGAAAGCTGCTGAAATGAAACTGATGGCTCAGCTGTTAAGGTTCCAGAAACGACTATTTCAGATTGTTTTTCTTTTGGATCAAGCACTTCCGCAGCATTCAAATGCCGAGTTTCTCCTGTCAGTGGATTTTGATCTATTATCTTTCTTGGGTTTTTTGATCTTGCCTTCACCGACCCAAATATACCCGCTTGTCCGACAGTATGTGTGGTTTCTGCAGCAAGCTTTTTAGGCCTTCTGGTGTCTCGTCTCTGCAGTGGAGAAGGACTTCGCTCTTGGGCCATTACATCTAATTTTTGGGGGGTAACAGAGTCTGTAAATGAGCTTGAGATAATAGGATCTTTAGATAAATAACTTCCAATTTCATTCGCACCCACATTTGAATCCGTGTCGTTCAATACTCCTGAGGTTTTCATGTTCTTCGAATCATCATCTTCATCATCTAACGTGATTGGTTCGTCAAGAGCACTGAGCCAATCATTACTTGAACTGTCCAGTTTTATTACAAACGGCACTGGTGGGGTTGGTTCAAAGGCAAGGCCAACGGTTGAAGGTGTTGCATTACCGTCAGTTCCTTGCTTTCTGGGCCCAGACGGAGATGCAGGGGAGTTGGGTTTAACTTTTGAAGTAATTGCATCGTCATTAGTCGATGATTCGAGTTTGTACCCACCAGTCTTAGCGGAACTACCTACTTTTATCACTTCTTGAGGGGCTTCGCAGCCGCTCAGGATCATTGCCGTTGCTTTACCCTTTTCCAAACTTTCATTGCATTGTTCTGCGCGTAGATCCTCATCGTCGTCGCTAAGAATAATAGGTTCCTCAAGAGCGGCTAACCAGTCATCACTTGTATTGCCAAGTTTCATTATGACAGGTTGTGTCTGTTGGATGACACTAGAAAGAATACAGACAGGTTTTGGTTCAGGAGAATCATGACTTGCATCATTTTCTTGTTTCTGGTCTGCACAATCAGTAATAACGTCATCTTCATCGTCCTCCAATGTGATAGGCTCTTCAAGAGCAGCTAACCAGTCATCACAGGTCGTGTCTAGCTTAATGGCGAAAGGTTTTGGTGAATTTTCACTGCATGCCGATGAGGTAGATGGAGGGTATGATGTTAACTTAGAAGATATAGGCAATGGAGCGCTATTAGCCAATTCAGCTGCCTTCACACTTTCAAGAAGTGCCAGCATTTCCTTTTCCTCTTTTTGTTCCCTACTTCCTGCCGCAACTTCCGAATGGTCGACTAGGTCTTCCATTGCTACGGAAAGCTTCTTTACTGCATTTTGAATATTTTGCTGTGTTGTTGGTCGCGATTTTCCAAGTGGCTCGAGTGAAGCTTTAACAACAAGAATAGGTCCCTCATCATTTATTTCCAGGCTGTTCACTTCTGTTGGATCAGTCTTTTGCTTTGACGGTGTACTCTTAGAATCAGAACCACTTGCAAGAGGACTTGAGACTTTTTGAGACGCTATGTTCACACTTTTCTTTAAACTGTTACCATTGTCAATGTTAGCGCCCGCTTGCTGATCGGTGTTGGCGTCTTTAGCCTTTTTTAATGCTTTAACGCATTTCTGCTTTTCGGTCACATTAGTGCCCTCAACAATTTGTGCCGTTGAGTCAACTTTGGATGAAACAGAAGGGTTTTGAAGGCTCTTTCCTTGTTTTGTCAGTTCTTCAGAGCATTTTTCTGGTAAGCGTTTTGCCACTGCTTCTGAAAGTATTTCAACCCCTTTTGGCATTTCCTCAAGGGTTTCCCGATCTTCTGGATTATAGGTAGTTTCATTAAGGGACTTAGAAGGTTTAGTTCCCACTGTATTTTGATCTGAAGAACAATCCTTTTCAATTAATGACTCAGAGGAAGGAAGGTGAGACCTTTCTTTCTTACAAGATTCACTGTTCCTTTGCTGCTCTAAAGGTTTAGGGGCTTCATCAATTCCTCCTGATGATTTTTTCTGTTTATCTGATTTGCGCTTTTTGTCCAGTCTACCACCATCACTGACTTGATCTCTTATATTCGTGTTATTGTCATCTGTAGTCACACCTGATATGGTGTTTTCCACCTTTGCCGGCAAAGTTTCTGCAGTACAAAGTTTCTTACGGTCCGTTTTGTTTTTTGGCGTACTTGCTACCTTTTCCGTTGACAATTTTTTTCTATCTTCTAAAGAGCTGTCGTCAGCCGGTAACAAAACATTGACTGGGGCAACAGACTCAGATAATTTTATGGCTGGAGTATTGACAGGTAATGAATAGGCATTTTGGGCATCATTTTCTGGTTTTGGAAGGGAAGCAGTTATCCCTGACGCCTTCTTTTTCTTTGACTTTTTAGAGGGACGTGGATCGCTAGTCAATGCATTTAGTAAGCCGTTGCTTGGCTCAGTATTAGTTACTTTTTCTTTAGGGCTTTCATTTTCAACGCCGTTTTCTCTATTTTTATTGACGTCCAAGTTCAAAGTGGCAGGAGGTTGACTGAAAGACACAAGTTTTGCACCTTTCTGTTTAGCCTTCTTTGATGTGTGCGTGGTTTCAAATGAAACATCTTTTGCATCAGACTTATCTAAATCAGTTCCAGCCAAATTTTCATGTTCCTTTTCCGCATGAGTCGTATCAGTTCCAGCTTGGACACTACCTCCAGTTTTCCGCTGCTTCCTTTTTTTCTTGGTTTGTACTGACTTTGTAGTCAATGCACTGTCCGTGCTAATGAACTGCGGTATTATTTCTGTAACAGATGTTTCACTAGGCTCAATTATTTGGGGAGCTTCCATAACGACAGCAGTTTTGTTGGCTTTTGATCCGGGCCGCTTGTTGGATCTCTTTTTATTTTTTTCCATTGCCTCTATCTCTTTTAACGCTTTTTCGATTTCATCTTCGTCCTTGCTTTTGGAGGATTTAGCCGGCATGGCTTTCCGCTTTGATTGCCTTGTACGAGATACCTGTTTCTCCTTCTCTACAGCTTCGTATTTTCCTACCAACTCCTTTGGTTCCTCTGCCACAGGAGATTCTTGGTCTGTTACCTTTGGATTAAATTGCTTGACTAGCCCCTTCTTTTTTGGAGACGATTCCGATAGGACTAAGCCAGGGATTTGGGGGTGAGCAACAACCTTTTCATGTTTTGTCGACTTTTTCTTCGGCATTTGCCACTTCTGGGACTCGTCGTTTTCCACAGGATTTTTGGAAGGTAATACCGATTTGCGGGCGGCAGTGGAAGTGAACTTCTTGGGAGTAATGACTTCCACGACTCCCGGAGATTCTTGTTGAGTTGGAAAAGATTGTAAGCCTTGCGACAGAATGCTTGCGTAAGAAAATTGGCTAGTATTGTGCTCATTGTCACCTACCGAGGCACTATTTGTAGTGTCCAACGAATCAAAATGTATCCTACTAGAATCTTGGATATTTTTTGGTACTGCCTGCTCAGATGTAGCTGTCAGAGAATCACAAACGGACTCTTTCACGTTAAATTCGTTTTCATCGAACAATGGTAAGTGGGGCTGAACCGATCGTGGAAAGAACTCCGGCGTGTCACCCGAAAGGGAGACTGGTGCTGCAGGCAATGCAGAGGCAGTAGGAGTAGGGTCACATAAAACTGGAAGGCTTGAACTTGTCGAGTAAGAGTATCGAGGAATTTCTTGATTATCTTCAAATCCTTGCATAGGAAAGAGTGCTTCAGATTTCAGACCACCTGATGTACTTATAGCAGGGGCATGATGTACTTCGAAACCACAGTCTGTTTGCTTCTCAGAAAGGCCAGTTTCAAAGCCAGCTTCGCCAAAAATGTATTTTGAATGAAACGCATTGTCGTGGATAGCTGCGTCACTTATTTGCTGGTCTTGAGTGTTGCGGCTTCTTAGGACTTGAGCAAATGATGCTGTTTCACCCGGAATAAACAACGGACTAGGCGAACGGCCCCTGAAAGTTTGTGGGAGGGCAAGGCATTCTAAGACTTCCTCGTTTTGGGGCAAACGCGTTCGGCCGCGGCTGTCTCCTTTCTTTTCAGCAGACCTTAGTGAAGGACTAGGCGATCTACGGCTTTCCTTTACGCTCTTTCTAATCCTCTTGCTCTCTTTGGGAGAGCTTGATGTCTGTTTTGGTATTGTTGGTGGTGTCATAGGTCGCTGCATCAGAGGTTGCAAATCACTGGAGACGTCTTTGGTCTTCACACTTGTTTTAAGTTCGGGGGCAAAAATATTCGAAATCGCCTCACAAAAACGGGATGTTTCCGTCGTTTTCTGACGCGCTGATAAGGGCTTGGCGTCAGGTTTATTTTCGTTCGAAATTTGGAAGGCATTAGAAGAAAGCTTGAGCATCTTGTTTTCTGGCTGCTCTACTGGGCAGGGACTAATACGACCAGCAGCGATGTCAGCGTACGAAATATCAGGCTCTACAAGAGCAAAATGACGAGTTGCGGCCTCACCCGTACCACTCTCAGACCAGTTTGGATCTATGCGTAGAATATGGTCCAAGAGGAGCTCCACCCGCACGCGCATGTCCTGTGTGCGGTCACCAGAACCAACGTAAGTGTCACAATGTCATAAGCACATTTAAATCAGAATTGGTGCACCAGGCACTAAGACCTCTGAAGTGGCAACTATTTTCTTAAATGCCTGGTGGCTCGATGGCATTTTGTAACTGACTGACCCATTCGAAGCCAATGGCACCAGAAAAGCTTTCAATTTGTCTTAAGAGTAAGTAAAGTTAATGTCACGTCATTATTGGGCTGCTGAGGGGCTTCTTACTAGTCTAAAGGATCTGTATCTGGAGTTCCCCGCTGAGCAAGAAGTTTAACTCGCTCATTGCGAGCTGTAATCTTGTTCTGAAGGGCGTTTATTCGTTCACGACAAGCCTGCAGGGATGGGAAAGGAGGTAAGGAGAGACATCAAACACACTGCGTAAGACAGAGACAGATGCCACCAACAAACCAGCCCAAGTTCCCAAAGGAAAATATCAAACACTGCACTTTGGCTTGTATAGCATGATACGAAAACATACTATTCAAGCTGATGTCAGTAACAAACTACTTAAAAAGGTGTAATTCCTAAAGAGAATGAAATGTTGAGGAAATCCAAGACAAGTGCGTTTTAGTCGTTACAATGAAGATAGAGAAATTTTGAATGTTGTGCCAAGATAATCACAAGTGGCACGCATCGGCATTATGTAAATGTAATATCAAACTAGACACCTACGACCCACCAGGCATTCATGAAAACAAAAATAATAAAATAAAGTTAGGTTTCCATTTGACATAATTTTGAATTTTTAAGACGCTTTGTATCAGAGTCTTAGCACACTGATATGCCCTTTGTGTTTCACGTGTGCTTTCATTCACTTATAACAGAACAGAAAAAACAAGGAACAACTATTTTAACTGTGTCCAAACAATAAAAAGAATAACATTTTTACAAATACAAGCGACCCCTTTGCTAGCATGCTTATCATCGTGCTTATAATCTGTTTCAGGAGACCCCGGCGATATTCAGATGGTCAACAGTAGTTTAACATCTGAATCTTAAAGCTAGCCAGTATGCCACTATGGATAAAACCATCAACACACATGCATAAAATTAAAAATAATGTGCACAAGAAATGTGTTTTTAACCCACTGCCTTGCAAGATCTAGAGAAATATTCCCAGCGGCACGTGACACTTTTAAACCCACAAAACCATACACAGAGAAAAAAATAGAACTAGATTGGAACTAAGAGTAGACGATGCAATTGTCGTTTGGATTTCCGTCAACCATTTATGGTTTTCATGAGACAAAAAGCATGACTGGTGATTACAGAGACAGTGGAAATATATACATTTTTGAAAATGATATGGAGAGTTCGTAAATAAGAACCAAGACGATACTATGAAGATACTAATAGTTCTGGGGCTGAGACAATTTAAGGAAAAATAGCTGGCAGGTAAAGTTGGGAGGATAATTAACTTATTTTCAAACACGCGTAGGTGCCAAAGTTGATGTGAATTAAATGCAACGTGTTTTTAATGCTTACGTTTTGATCGTGTAGAGCTCGATCTCTGTCATGTGGTGAGTAGTTGGGGCTGAGGGCTGACCGCAGTTGCGCCTCAACAGACACAATTTGTGTTCTGAGCTGCTGAATCTCCTGAACATAAAAACATTTGGATGACGGCCTTTCATGCGGCACACAAATTTTAGAGCCGCGATTATCAAAGAACAAAAAATATAATTTTTACTTTCTAAATACCATAACTTTTAAAAGGATGGGGTATTGAGCTGATCCAAAGACTTACGTGTTGGTACTGGTCGATTTGCGACAAGCATGCTTCAAGTGTGGTGGTTTGCTCCTTAATGTCATTCATCAGTCGGTCGAGTTCGTTAATTAATTGGCTGGCTTCCTCCGTCACCTTTCCGTTTCCACCAACTCCAGACCTAAAGTGAATCTGACAAAGAATTTGGGGTGTCACAACCTGTGTGATAAATGGTTGAACACAAGAAATGTATGCGTCTAGTCACCTGCAGTTTCTCAACAGATAGGGCTATTTTAGTTTTCTGAGTTGAGGCGTCGGCTAACATTTTTTCTCTATTTGCGTGCTGGTCACGCAGGGGCCGTTTTCTATTCTGAGGAGAATCTAGGGACTGTTGAGTTTTCTCCATCCACGATCGCACGTCCTTCATTTTCCTTTCACACCTTTCCCATTCTTCACTAGTTTCTTGTAAGAGGGCATTCTAAATGGATCAGAAAAGAAAAGTGTTTTTTAAATGAAAATAAAATGCATTTAGAAAAAAATGACATTAGGAGCAGAAACTTACCCTTTCCAAAAGCAATGCCTCCACTTTCATTTTGGCTTCTTCGGCAGCCTGCAGCTTTTCCGGCAAATCTCCGACCGCCGTAACCTGTCCAATCTGTTCCAGTTCGCGAGACATGTCGCTCAAGTTCTTGCCGGCTTGCTTGCTGCTACGTAGGGCAGTCTGAAAAAGAGGCAAGCATTGACCGTAAAAAGGCAAGAGACAGAGCAAATGATGGAAAGCAGGAAGAGCGACTCACTGAGTAGTCGTGCAGCCGTTGGCGAGCTTGCGTCAACGAACTGAGCTGCAGTGGGGTCGCCAGGAACTTGGTGTGCTCCTCCACCCAGGCGAGCACTGCCTGGTGCAGCGACATGAACCTCGCCCACGCGTCCAGGGAGTCCCCGACCTGCTGCTTCTTGTCGTGCAGCCAGGTTCGCACCTGCTGCAGCTGCTCCGTGAGCGTGCGCACCGTGGCCTGCACGCGCGCCTTCTCCGCCTCGTCCTGCGTGTTCTCCGCGATGGTGCGCGCGTTGCGGCTGAGCCGCTCCAGGCGGTCCTCCGTGGCGCCGATCTCCGCCTGTACCTGCTGCAGGTGGTCACGCAGCACCTGAGGCTCGGCGGAGCGGTCCTGGACGCGCAGCTCAGCGCGCTGGATCCAGGCCGTCACCGCGTCCACGTCGCGGACGTAGTCCGAGCGCACGGTGCGCGCCCGCTTCAGATCGCGGTCCTTTTCCTCCATGGCGGCGTTCACGGCCTCCGACAGCAGTTCCAAGGAAGTGAGCTGCGGAACAGAGGCACGCAGATTGATTTTCGTCCGAGGGAAGATAACCCGTGAGCATGGACCGCGGTCCGATAGACAGCCAAAAATAATTGGCATTGATTCGGGCTGGGCCGATTGGACACTGGCCAACGGCGTCGGGCGCGTCGGGTGTCGCGTGCCCCGGGCCCTGCCCACCACAAGTGCCTCACCTCTTGAGCGAGCTCGGTGGGCACAAGCTGCTGTGCGGCGGTGTAGCGCTGCTTGGTGTCGACGCCGAGCTTCTTGACGCGACAGACGCTGGCGTCCACTCGGGCGCCGAGTTCTTGCAAAGTCTGCTCCGCGGCGTCCTCGCCGAACACGTACGCTCCACGGACCTCGCCGTCCAGCGACTGTAGAGTGGAACGCAGAGACTGGATCTCTGCTGCTACAGCCTCTAGACTCTCGAGGTCAGCGTTCGCCTGCGCTAGCTTGAGCTTGAGTGCAGAGATGAGCCTGCAACAGAGTCACGGTCATGGTCAGAATACCGCTGCGCCGGTCCAAAACATGGCACACGCGTTTCGGACGGATGTTTAACATTGTGAGCGGAAAAAATAACGCGATCCTGCACGCAGGATTCGACAAAGTTTGCTCTTGGCAGTTCGTCAAGAAACAGCGGTAGCCCAGAGCCGAGAGGCGGGGCTGCACGCCAATTCAGTATGGTGAGGCCATCATCTTTCTAATCTACAAAAAACAGTCAGATAACTATAAAATAAAAATTTTACAGCGTTCCGGCGTTAAAGTCACTCCTCGCATTTTAGTGCGAAAACTACGGGTCCGCTCGTCGAGTTCTCCACTAAATTTAACGGCGACGTTCCAAATGGACCAGTACGGCCCGACGCAGACAAGCTGTACAGACAAGCTGGCGCCGCGCGGGGAAGCAGACAAGACGCACGGGGATGCGAATCCAAAGAGGCACCCGGGCGGCACACGGCCCCGATGCTGCAGAGCGATGCGCCAGCACGCCGACGACGCACAGCAAGACGCACGCCACGCCACGCCACGCCCACCCCGGCACACCTGCAGCACTTCCCGCATTACCGTAGGGAGCTTCAAGGGCACAGCCAAGGGCTCGCAGTCGCACTCCTCTCACGCACACAGACACGCGCGGCGCAGCGGCAGAGCTGTGAGCTTGGCGTGGCTCAACTGAGGCGGCGGCGTTGCGGCGCGCGGACCGCGGCCCGACACACCGGGCTAATTTTAAACAGTAAAGGTTGTGGCGCTGGGCGTCCGAGGCGCTGGGCGGCGGGCGTGGCGGCGGGCGTGGGGCGGCCGAACCGGACAGCTGACGGACAGGCTGTCCACCGCGCGAACACCGTGTGTGTGTGTGTGTCACACTGCACCTCAATGGCGGCGGTTGGATTGGACCGGCGGTTTCAATCAGGTGAGCCCTCCCACAGGCAGTGGACTGATACCAAACAGTGGCCCCTCCCTTCTCTCTCTCTCTCTCTCTCTCTCTCTCTCTCTCTCTCTCACACACACACACACACACCCCTTTGCCCCGTGAGTTGAGTACGAGAGAGACACCGAGGAAATCACTGTTGCAAATTCGTCAATTTGCGAGGGGGGTGACTGCCTGCTGCAGTCACACTGGAAAAGCCCCTGCCCGCATGCCACACGACGTGCAGCTGGCGACGAGGTTCGCCGTGGCGTGACTCAGATTGAACCAAGCCTAACGGCGCAAAGCGGTGCTGCCTGGTGAGGTGCACGCGGACGCCAGTACGAGAAAATCATGTACACATCCCGTAGCAAAGATGCTTCATTAAGATTGTGAGAGGGTCGCGATTCCGATCGGGCCCAGCCACCCAGGCGGCCACAAACTGGCGCGGGATCGTAAAAAAGACGAGCCGCCAAAGGACGCTGCTGGGCTGGAGCGAGCGGCCTAGACCATTTAATGCAAATTGGCGATCCGGCCCGCGGTGGACCGCGGAAAGCATAAACGCGTTCGGTCGGATGATGAATAGTGCCGGTCGAGGGGTGCCATCGTCTCTCTCGCACCCCGCAGAGACGCCCCGAGTGCGAGAGGGACGGAGCGCTTTCGGAATCAGCGACCTGGACCGCGTGGCGATCAACGCCGGGCCAGTCCTACACGCCTCAGCGAATCAGAGCAAGCAAAAAAAAGAGACGCCGTCGTTTTTGTCCGCGAGCAAAGCCGGCCGCCACTGTTACAGTGTTACTGGCTGCCCAAGGCCAAGGTCGCTATTTTTGGCCATAACAATACTACATTCTGCTAAAACGTGACACCGGCATGTGGAGCTTTCAGACTGAACCCGTCGTTTACCAAATGGCATCGTGAAAACGGGTAGGGAAGAAACCTGGGGGAAATGGTCAAAGAGACAAGTCCTTCCATGTTGCCCTGAAGCACAAAATAACCGTCACTCAGTGCCAAGCGTGCCACCGTCGCCACGCGTTCGGTTCAAGTACCATTTAGCGACTCGAGTGCCCTAAACGCGTAAAGAATTTGGTCCGCCCGTGCCGGTCTTCTGGGCCACTGTGCGTCGCCCCCTTCTTTGGGCCCGGCTCCTCATCCGCGATGTTTGTCCCTGCGCGCCCCGGTGCCCCCTCCGAGCCCCAGTGGAGGCCCCCTCCGAGCCCCAGTGGAGGTCCCCCCGCGGGGCCCCTCGCGGCCTTGGCTGGCCTTGGCACTGGACAGCGCCGCCAAATTTCGCGGGGCAGGTTTACGACACACTAAAGCATAGGCACCCAACCCTTCCAAAAATTTCAAAATGGGAAACAAATATCGAATACGGCACTGTCAAAAACGAATCCGGCCCTCGCATGACACGGTTCAGAAATAAACATTTCGCGCGAGGCGGCGGCGTTTAGAGCTGGGCGGAAACGGTGCCGGCCGTTCGAGACGCTGGGCCGTTCGGGCGTTCGGGCGTCAGGCGGTCCGGGGCGCGGTGCCAAGAGGACGCGCCGCGCCGCCCCGACCACGCGGACGGGACGCGGCCCGGTTGAAAAGACACGGCGGCTTACAAAGCGACGACCGCCTTCCGAGATGACTTTGTCGTCGCCAGGCTGGGCGGGCACGCACAGTGGGCCAGAAGACCAGCGGAGGCGGCCAAATCTCCGGACGCGTTTTGAGCTCCAGAGTCGCTAAACAGGCCTCAAACCGAAAGTGTCACCCGACCAATGGGTTCCTCGTTCGGAGAGCAATCCATTGGTGGGGTCACACGTTCGGTTCGAGTCCCATTTAGCGACTCTAAGCTTCCGGGGTTCACCTTCAGTGCGCGGCTCACTATGGATGCTCGGCGGCTGCCGCGGCGTCTCACGCGCAATCACACCAATCAACCAATCCCAGCGGAGCGCTGCAGCTCAGCGGTCGGTTCGGCAAAACGGCCCCAGAACGACGACGACGACGGCCCGGTCACCTCCACGGAAGCCAGCCCAACTAGAAGTAGTGCGCGTCGCGGCACGGCGAGTCACGCGTATTCGGCCGCTCGTCGGAAACTGGGAGGAAACTCGGTCGCCGGGTGAGGAGGTCTCGCCTCGCGTCGTGCTGGGCCCGGCCCCAGCCCTCGGCGCCTAGAACGTCGTTGTCTCCGTCTAGCGAAGCGCAGCAGTCAGAGAGAGAGAGAGAGAGAGAGAGACACCGCGAGTGGACTCGCCCACAGCAGCAGCGGCGCGTCGCAAACAGTCCGTGATGGACGGTACGACAGCCCCCACCCCCGGCCCGCGCCTACACTGCCCCTTCACGCCGTTCGCACCTCATTGCAGCAAATCAACGCCATTAAAAGGGCGATTAGAGCCCGGGAAATCCTCGCCCCTCTCCTGGTTCCGCGAGTGGATTAGAAGGACCGGTTTGGGCGCGGACCCGCCGAGTGATTCCCCGGGGAAGATCGTTCGGCATCATCATGGTTTCGTTGTGCGCCCTGCGGGGACAGTTCAGAGCTCAAAGAGAGGCCAGAAAAGTTGTGAAAGGCTGCCCACCATGCTCGACCCAAAGGCGGAGTGCCCACAAGGCCAGCGCTTGGGTGCAGCCGAACCCGAGTCCACTGACACCACCAGTGGTCCACCAGTGGGCCACCAGTGGGCCACCAGTGGGCCACCAGTGGTCCACCAGACGTCTCGGCCAATTGAGCGCCGCGGTGCATGATGCCGTCCAGAGCATTCCGGCCGCGCCAGACAGTGACGGCCACCTCGCGGCGACGAACAGTGGGCCAGAAGACCGGTGGAGGCGGGCAACATTCCAGACACGTGTTAAGCTCCAGGGTCGCTAAATAGGACTCAAACCGAACGTGTGACCCCACCAATGGATTCCTCGTTCGGAGAGCAATCCATTGGTGGGGTCGCACGCTTGGTTCGAGTCTCATTTAGCGACTCCGGAGCTCAAAACGCGTCTAGAATTTCGGTTGCCCCCACCGGCCTTCTGGCCCACCGAGAGACGCTCCCCGCGAGGAAGGCGGGGAGGCCGAAGGGATCCAGAAACAGTGACACACTGCCGGGCAGCTGGCCGGCCGCGGTGGCCCTCCACCATCGCGGCGCTGACATCATGCATGACATCACGGGGGCGCGTCGGTAAATCGGGCCAGGGCCGTGCGGCCGAATCAAAGTGTCCAACACGCCAGAAAAAGAGGGACGGTCGTTTGATTTCTGGAGCGAACACTCTTTTCCAATGCACCTGCCTAAAGGTCGTGCCCCGGCCGCCACGTAACCGCACTGCGCCGCGGCGGCCGCGCGTGCGGCGGTGGCGCTGCTCTAGGTGCACAGCGTGCGCAGGTCACTCCCCCCTAGAGTCTCCTGCGCGGGGAGTGTCTACGGCGCCGTCTCGGCGTCTCGGCCCAGCCCGCGGCCCAGCCCGCGGCGCAGCAGCCACGATCCGCCCGCCGAACAGTGGCGGCGGTGGCGACGACGTCTTCGTCATCCCCTGCTTGGCGGTCAGCCGAGCCTAGCTGACCGATTTAAATGCGAAATTTACTACTCGTCCGCCACCAGGCCGCTAGTATGCGGATGGCCGGCGGCCTCGACGCGCTCACCGGCCGGAAGGAAGTCTCCCGCGGGCAAATAAAAGTGTCCCGTAAAACAGCGGCGGCGCACCTGTACACCACTGCAAACAGCGTGGCGAGGCGGCGCGGCCTCACAGTGTGGCGACGCACGCTTCGGGCTTCGAGCACGTTCAGAGCTCCGCGTTCACACGTTCGGTTCGAGTACTGAACGTATAGGGGAGCTCAAAACGCGTCTAGAGTTTTGGCCGCCTCCACCGGTCCTCTGGCCCACTGCGCCACGCCGCAGGCCGGGACCGAGGAACGCGGAAAAATAGAAAAATAGGGCCGCGTCACCGCTCTAAATCGTAAAAGATTGGGGCGTGGAGGGAGGAAGCCCCGGCGTGTGAAAAATAAGAAACAGTCCGAAGGAAGCCGACGAGGAGGAGGAGGAGGCGCCCATCCATCTGGGTGGCCCAGGGCCGTGCCCAGGGCAGGGCGGCGCTGCGCGTCCCCGGCCACCAGGACCAG